GATTTACAAGAGTTTTAACTAGGGATGCTCCGATCGATCAGCCACCGATCGATATCGGCCGATACTCACGGGCCGTCTCCACGGCAGCGTTAAAAAATCTTGAAACGCTTCTGCCCATTCACTTTGAATGGGGTGACGTCACTTTTTTTCGCTTTCGCCGAAATGCATTGTGGGCAGGCGAGCGGAGATTCTCAGGATTTTCAAGATCCAAAGTTGAACAATGTTCAACTTTTGAGGCTGAGGTGGAAGCGTCAGCCAATCAAATCCCGTGTACGCAAATCTGACAGTTCAAGCTCTAGCCAATCAAACGGCGTGTAAGCTGGGAGAGACATACAGCAGTTAATTTCCTCATATTCCAAAAAATGGAGGAGAAATTAGCGGTAGCGAATCAATCACCCGGTGCTTTATGGTCATAAAGCACCGGGTGATTGAGTCCCTATTTACCTACCGGGATATAAACCGGAGGAGCCAGGCATGGAGGGAGGTGGCAGAGACAGTGGTAGGTTTTCGCCTGTTTTGGGGAGTTTATATCCAGTTTACTTCGGGCTTTTTTGCTTCGTATGTCGCGGGCGGGAGATTCATGTGATTGGTTGCTCGCAAAAAATCCTCAAGCTTCAGATACGCCCACCTCCAAGATTTTTTTAACGCTGCCGTGGAGACGGCCCGTCACTCTCTGCCGATCGATCGGTGCTCTCTAAAAATGCCGATCGCAAGAGCCGATCGCATGACGTAAAATGATGACGTAAAATACATGACACTTTTCTCTGTGCGCGGCAAAACAAGCTCGCAAAAATTGCTTCACGAGTCTGGCAGTATTTTAAGGTGTCCGAAAAAGACGGTAAAATAGCGGTATGCAACGTGTGTGAAGCAGAAATCCTGCAGCTCCACCCGCTGTGACGGACCGGTGAGCGGAGCGAAACACACACTAAGAGTTAGACCTAACACACTTAGCTATTTAATCTACCTCTGGAACAAGCTAAACTAGTTATACATATATTTATTCTTCACTGTCGGGTCACTCATTACTGGATCAGTGAGCTGCATGAGATACTGACAGGCTGTCAGGAGAGAGAGAGAGAGAGAGAGAGAGAGAGAGAGAGAGAGAGAGAGAGAGAGAGAGAGAGAGAGAGGGAGAGAGAGAGAGAGAGAGAGATAGAGAGAGCGAGAGAGATAATGAGGCTAGAGATAGAGAGGGGATCGAAGGTGAGATCTTCCTCTTCTATTCTTCTCGTGGAGAATTAGCTCTTCCGCTCATTTCTTCCCGTGTTTGTTATTATCCAAAGTTAATGTAAACTTGAATAATGTACTTCATTTGAATGTAATAATTATGTTGTTGTTGTTGTGGAAGCGCCAGTGAATGAGCCCCATTAACTGAGTTTTAAACATCACTTTAAATGGAAGATCCCCATAGGCCCCGCCCACTCGATCGGATCGGCCGATACTGATTCCGGCGATCGGCCCCAAAATTGGCGATCGGAGCATCCCTAGTTTTAACCCTAGCAGATTGAAAAACCTAAAGTACCATAGCAAATGAACTCAGCCTGTCCCTTGCCATCTAGACGTCAGAAACATTTTAAGAAAAAGTGAAGCTGTGTTCACTAAACCTCTGAAAATGGTGATGGTTGGAAACAATAACATTTGGAGGTGGTCTTGGGAACATTTTCTGAGTATAACTGTGTATTCTGTGCCATAAAATCCATCGATCTGATCTGTTCATAGCAAGAAGTAACTTTAAATGGAGCTTTGGCATCTCCTTTGGGACTTTGTGGAATATGTACATAAGGAAAAGGAAGTTAGCAATATTTGATCTTCTCCACGCCCTCTTTGATCTGTATATACATTTGCAGGTAACCTTCACTTCCTATTAGCCTGAGCTGTCTCTCTGTACCTGTGGAGGGACTTCTCCTCTGCAGGAAGCCCAGCAGGGAGCCCAGACAGTTCACTGAAGCTCTCAGCAACAGCTCGTGCTTCTGAGGAGACACAGTGGGGCGAAAACATCAGAGAGAAGTCAAGTATACACTGAACAAAAAAATATCCCAGCTCTTAAACGTCAGATCACTGCAAGTCATGTGAAATGTGTCAAAAACAGCTTCATGGTTACTTTATTATTTCTTTTGAAACGCGAGGTGCTGTGGGCATGCATAACACGGCGCTAACAGTTCACAAGCGAGCGTCCACCCCCCCCCCGTTGACAGTTCACGAGCGTGCTCTCTCCGACCCCCGGCAGAGTTGTGTACAGGCCGACGGGTAATAATGGATTTTGACGAAAAAGTCTAGTGCAACCTCTGGTGTGGATATATAGTAGTATATCATTACTATAAGCAGATGGTGTAGTATTGCCCAGTGTACTGGAGGAGATTGATTTCACTTCACGGCTGCATCTCGAATGCAAATAAGCATCAACATGAGCGCAGAGTTATTACACTTCATTAGCTGGAGGTGATGTTTTTAACCTATTCAAACACACCGCAGGCTTCAACACAGCTCACACACCTTTCCTCTAGTTCAAACAGCATTTTGATGACCTCTCAACCGCATGCTGATAGCTTTTTACATATTTGTGTCTCTGTGGGCTTTCACAGGGGCTTTTTTAATGACGTGCCACTGTGATACTGTGGCAAACAAATCATTAAGCTATGACTAATGTCTATAGACAGGAGAATATGTTGATTCGAGAAGTCCTCGTTAGGCTAGTAAGGAGCAAATTAATGCATTTAATAATAATATGTAGATATCATTAGGCTCCAGTTGGACTTTAGTCTAATTTAAAGCAACAAGTGCTATGCGTCTTTGGGTACTGTTACAGCTTATCTGTCAGCTGGTTTCCACTTTTTGAACCTGATCAATTGCATCCGTATCTTTATATATACTTGTATACTTACTAATATGATCAGTACCTGCATAGCACGCCACATTATATCAATATGTCCTGATTTTGTCATTAGGATTGGAAAAACTGCATTAGCAAGAAAGTAAGGGCTTAAAATCACGATTATTCATTGATTTGAGGGACAAAATTGTCTAATTGAACTTTCAATACAAATTTAAACAAACAGAGCACTGCTACAGTTTCAGGCAGTGCAAATTTAAACACCATTAAAAAATCAAAATAAGACTTAAAATGAAATATGTTTTATTTTCTAACCTTAAAGGGGACCTATCATGCAAAATGCACTTTTTGATGTCTTTTATACATAAATATGTGTTCCCGGTGTGTCGGGGAACTCACGCAGCGTCAGAAAATAAAACCCTCTCTCTTTTCCTCCGTACCCAAATCTCTAAAAACGGGGCTACAACTGAGCTGATCCAGATTTGCGTCCGATATGACGTAATATCTGAAATGTGGACCCACGGCCCTATCAGAAACGTTGCTATCAGAAACAATGCCCGACTGTTTTGGACATAATATGGTCTGTGTTTACATTAGCATCGCTAACACTCAGAGCTAACCTGTACTGGAGAGAGCATGTATGTGAAGAAGCAGGAAATAAAAAGGAACTCACCTTGTGGTATAACCGGCAAGAGAGAAAGCCTTTGAGCTCCATACTGTTTCAGAAATAATCCTTGATAATCCATGATATGGCGTTTCATCACGGCAGTATTTAGTTTAGACAGTAGCTGCCGGGTCCCGCATGAGCTCAGCCCCCTCCTTTTTTATCACATTTTAATTTTTTTAAAGCTTTATACCCCAAATCAGCACTTTTGAAACAGGAAGTCAAATAGAGGGATATGAGGCATGGCTAGAATGGGTGATCTGTTTGGTATTTCGAGCAAAACACTTCATAGACATGTTTTTTATATATTTTTATATATCTGAGACCTATGCTATTGCCTACAAATAGCATGATAGGTGACCTTTAATTTAGTTCTGCCCATCTGCTTCTAAAAAAAACGCATCTAAAACCTCAATATCCTAGTTCATAATTTACTTTAATTTAATCATGAAAAGCCCAAATAAAGTGGTGCAGGAATGAGTCCGAAACCCAGGAATGAGTCAGCATTTAAGACATTTTGCCGGTAATTGTCTGAAGGTTTTACACGGAAAAATTCCATGGCTTTTTGTCGAGAGAGCCCTTGCTATGCTAACTCTCGGGTCAGCCTACAAAAACACACTGCACCACTTTATAGTGATCGCCTTTAATATTTGATTAATGGTTCCTCCTTAATTAGAGTAATGAGGGTACAGCTCTCTACTTCGGTCTCTGCAGGTCAGCAGCTCTTTAGAACGGCTCTGCATTTCCTTCAGATTTCCATTATGTTTCAGTTTACAAAGACCAAACACTGCTTTACTATAACGTGCTTATGTTAATGCTGGAAAGGTTCAATTGAATTGAAGCAAATCCTTCCTTTAACAATAAAAACAGATACGTTTCCAACCACCACTTGTTGAAAAGCAATACATATGCCAGCAGATACCTTTCATTACAACACAGAATTGACTGTCTGGGTGTTTTTCCCGATATTTCCGTTTTCCACAAACAAGAAATGTGAGAAATAAAATGTTGTATTTGAGCATCCGACGCTCAAATCCAGCACCAGACACTTTTTGTTACGCTACTATGGACTATGGATCTTGCACTAATGTACATTCTCAAATATATTGAAGTGACTGTTATTTTGTATATATTGATTGTTGAGCTTTTATTTAGGTCTTAATGTGTGCATGTATAAATGTGTCTTTTGATTGTGTGTATATATATAGGTATATACATACGCATGCGCGGCAACAATCTGAAATGCGTACCGTCACTTGGGTCACAAAGCGCATTTACTTGTGAAGCTTTTCCAGAAGGCGGTTAGATCACCGTCCGACAGAGTCGGTCTCCGTGTGCACAGACAGGGCTGCTGTTAACGTCGGTCTGTACAGCAGCACTGCGCTAAAACAGCTGATCACAACGTTCACACGCTCTGTGGTCACGAAGCTCTGTACTCCACTACCACCCCCCCACCTTGACATTCGCAAAGCTCTGTACTCCACTATTAAGTGGACATTCGCGATACAGAGGGCTTCATGGGAACTTTGAGGGGAGCCAGAAGTTGGAGTACCTCACTGAGAAGGTTGTGTGCACCCCTTATATTCGGGATTGTGGGAAACTGTATTTCGATCTCTCTGTCTGTACACACAAACTGAAAGATTGACAATCAAGTTGACTTTGACTTGACAGAATTTACTGTGTTTTTCCCGATATTTCCGTTTTCCACAAACAAGAAATGTGAGAAATAAAATGTTGTAAAGGCAGTCACTGGTGTACAGTCCAAATCCATACTGCGCTTAAGACGATTCAACAGCTAAAACAACTGAGCCATCTGTAACGATATTTATTTAACTGTTAGCTAGAAGAGCAAATATTTTGTTCATATATCTATTTTAGGAGATGTATTAGAAACACAGCCTGTCCTCCTGCTCTGCTGGTGTGCTTTTCAGGAGCTCTTTGCCCGAGTGATCACCTGCAAACAATCACCAGCACAATCAAGCCATGCCGGGATCCAATTTTGTTTCAGTCTCCCTCAAGTCTTCACCAGATGGTCTTGTTTTCTGCCGTCTCACAGGCCATTTTTAAAAAGACCTGTTTTAGTCACGTAATATTGACTCTCGATTTTTGACCGGTTGCGACAACGCCTTTTTCTTGCCTGCAATCCTTTGTTTATCATACGAAATTCTGCCTTACAACGGTAAAATGATGCATCGTCTCTTGTCACCCTTTGTTTGAATTAGTGGAGTCTTGCTAATGGATATACGCAGCTTGTCAGGAAAACATTTACTTTCCAGTTGGGGAATGTCTTTCAGTACCGAAGGGGAAGAAGTACTCACATATTGCACTTAAGTAAAGGTTGCAATACTACGGTTTAATAAAAAAATATTGGACGAGTAAAAGTTCTGCATTGAAATATTTACTTGAGAAAATATGCAAAAGTATTAGCACCAAAATATACTAAAAGTACTTTAATTATTGGATTATATTTAGTGATGCATGAATCTGTGTCACTTTAATGTTGTAGGTGGGAAGTTACGGTTGATTTAAATTTCTCCTCTATATAATGCTTTGGTAGCTTAACCTTTAATAATGTAGAATTGGGAGGGATGAAACCCTCTTTAATGGTCACACAAGCAGAGCACACAGCACACACAGTGACATGTGTTCTCTCCTAGTACCAGGAGTCTAGTACTAGGAGCAGTGGGCAGCTATTGTACAGCGCCCGGGGAGCAATGGGATTGAGGGGGGGAAGGGGGGTGTCCGGTGCCTTGCTCAAGGGCACCACGGCAGGGCAGGAGGTGAACTGGGACCTCTCCAAGTAGCAGTCCACACTCCATATTTTAGGTCTGGTCGGGGACTTGAACCGGCGACCCTACAGCTCCCAGTCCAAGCCCCTACTGACTGAGCCACTGCCGGATATATGTAATGTATCATTATTAGTTGTATATTAACATTTATAGTATGGATTCTGTTTTAGCAATCTTAATCTGCAAAGTATCTACTAATTAAAGCTAATAAATACATTTAGTGGAGTAAAAAGTGACAATATTTGCGTCAAAATGTTGTATGAAGTAGCATTAAGTGAAAAGTACCTCAAAGTTGTACTTCATTACAGTACTTGTACTTCACTAGAGCATTTCCATCGACAGTATAGATACATGAGAGAAAATCACTAAATGCATTAATGTCGCCTTCGAACTCAACAACACAACCAATAATAATAATATACAATAATGTTATGTTATGTTGACCCAAATCTCTTCAGGTTCCTTTTAACACCCGAAGGTTTTGTGATTACCTTCACATACAGTACACACAAACCCCGACTCATGGATAAATCCCCCTCGATGGATAAATACCTGCAGAAGAAGTCCGCTGAGAGCCGTGGAGAGGCACTGAGCTCCTCTGGTGCCGAGAGGGTACAAAGACCCGTCTTCCACCCCCAGGGGACGAGGCCCCACGAGGCCAGGACCGCTGGTCAGAGACACCACTGCTGATCCCAGGTCAGCATCAAGGAGAGCCTGCAGCAACCTCAGGAGGCTGACTGCAGAGAGAGAGCAAAGAGAGGAGGGGGGTCAGGATGGCAAACAAAGAGTGGAGCTCAATCTGGTTTAGTAAAGTTTTGATCTGAAAGTTCAAGTTGTGATTGGTCTTTTCACCTTGGCTTGAATAGTTTTATTCATAATGATTCACTCTATTATGCTTTTAGGGGTTTTTCCTTTCCTGTAGTGCAGCGGTTCCCAACCTAATCAACTCAGGGCCCACTTAAGAATCTAAAAAATGTTCGCAGCCCACATTCAACCATAAACAATAGAGTGCCACAGTGACGCGTCCTAAAACCGAATGAACAAAACGTGGAGTTTACTTCCGGGTTTTAGGACGCGTCACTGTGGCACTCAATACGGAGGGTAAATAAAGTTCTGATTGGTCAATTCAGAACATGTGACACGTTGTTAATCCAGTAGAACAGACCGCTGTCAAGGACTGTAATGACCGTTGCTAAGGAGGATCAAGAAAGGTTAAGAGGTTAAAATAAAATAAAAAATCTTAATAATGAATTGTTTCCACACAAATCATAATATTTTGCTAATTATTTGGCGGCCCACTTGCAATGCAGGTGGGCCGCCAAGGTTGCCCTAAGGTTGGAAACCGCTGCTGTAGTGTGTTATATCAAATCAAATCAAACTTTATTTGTATAGCCCAATATCACAAAACACGTTTGTCTCAGTGGGCTTTACAGATTAAAAACATACAACAACATTGTATATGTTATATATATATATATATGAGGTTTCTCCCATTTTTCCCTCTGAAATGTGGGTTTTTCTCTGGAAGTTTTTCCTTGTACGATGTGAGGGTCTAAGGACAGAGGGTGTCGTTTTTTCTCATACTGATATTCTGAACAAACTGTGCTGTTGTATTTGCTGTAAAGTGTCTTTACTGTAGGGTATTTTTATTATATGTACAGCACTTTGGCTCGACCAAAAATCGTTTAAAAATGTGCTATATAAATAAAACTTGATTTGATTTGATTTGATATGATGGAGTTACAGCAACATAAGACAAGATAGAAATAAAACAAATAAAATAAGATACAACAAAAGACAATACAAATACATAAAACATTCAAACCAATACCATAACATGCAAGCTCTAACTGAAGGCTATGTTTAAAATGTAAGTATATAGGTTTTAGTGCATGTAAATGGTCTGCAAAACCTAACATCACAAAGTCCCATCCAGAGGAATTTTTTTCTCTCCCCCAATAGATATTTTGATATTTGAGTTCAAAATCTTTTTTTGTGTGTTTCCAATCTTTTCACAGATCTCAGAATTGTTTGATTGATTTAGCTCCATAGAAAAGGAGAAAGCAAATACATGTGAAGGGCAAGGCCACAAGAGAACCAGAGTGTACTATGTTTTTGAAATAGAAGATGCTAAAAGCAAGTAGCAGGGGGAAAGAGAAGCAAGAGGTAGCGGCTGAAAGGAATTGAGGGCAGTTTTTGTGCTGGTACGTGACAGAAAGAGTCTAAGTGAGGGACGGGGTTAAAGAAAGGTCCAGGAACCAAAAGAGTGATGGAGATGGATATAAACAAAGAGACACAGACCAAAATAAATCGCTAAAACCCAAAGGGATCCCAACTGCCAGCCATCTGACTTGCACTCGATGCCACGTACTCTGAGATTACAGCTCTCCGAGGGAGGGACAACTCAATTAGCGGCAGCAGAAGAGAGGGAGGAGAGCTGGGGTGAGGAGAGGAGATACATCACAGCAGCCTGACAGGCCACTTATCCAGCTGACAGACACACACAGGGAGCAGCCGGATGATCTGTCTCTGAGCGCTGCAGTGGCATGTGGGTCACTTCATGTAATGGGAGGCATGTGGCGCAGTGGGTTAGTGCATTGGTGTTGGGATCAGGGGGTCACAGGTTCAAACCCCATTGCAGTCAGCATGTCGTTGTGTCCCTGAGACACTTCACCCCAAGTTGCTCCTGTGGGGATTGTCCACAGCAGTGGTTGTCTCCGGTACTTCCAGTCCAACGCCTACTGCATGCACAGCGTTAGAAAATCGGTCCTTCAAAATAAAAGTTTGCATTTTTTCCAAAAAAAAAAAAAAAAAAAATTCCAATTTTTTTTTTCAACTTTTTTTTCTTCACTCACACATCCGCGACCCACTTGAAACGGGTCCGCGACCCACTTTTGGGTCGCGACCCACCAGTTGAGAACCACTGGTCCACAGTATTGAGTATGTAAGTCGCTTTGGATAAAAGCGTCTAACAAGTAACATGTAATGTAATGAGAGAGTGAGAAATTCATCCCAGGGTTTGGTTAGCTGCGCTGAGGACGAAACAGGGACAGACGGTACCTGCTTAAATGTAACAAATTGGACTGTCAACGCTAACAGGTTAACAATCTCGATTAATCTGGAAACCTTGACGTGTTAAAAGCAAATTAATCACACTATCAAGTTCCTTCCAGAGCGGATGTTATAGTTCGTTTCAGTTGTACCGGGAAGTAGGAGTATCAGAGTTCCCAGTCGGAAATGTCAACTTGAACGCCCCATGAGGTCTGACTCAGAGATACCTCACCATACCCAAGATCATTAATATATATATAATATTTAATATTCCATGCCTCACATAGTTATGTATATATATAATAACTTGCTTTATATTTTGTTACTGTACATTTGTAATTCAACATGTATATTTTCTACTTTCTTGTTTATTTCTAGTCTTTTCATTTTTATCGTACAATGCCATGTCTCGTTTTACGCTGATGCAACACAAACATTTCCCAAATCAATAAAGTACTTCTTATCTTTATCTTATCACCAAAATGGAGTATCTGCATAAGAACATTGAGAGTATACTTTGATAATATAACATTTTTCTATCTGTGGATACGTTGCTTCGGTGTTTGCATTCACAAAATAAAGCTTAGTTATCAACCGGTATTGCTAACAGCGGCTAATCTGAGGTGAGTGCTAAAAATGACAAACTACTTTCCTGCGAGCGTCCATATTTTTCCGTGCTACTGATTACGTCACTCCCAGTTCTGACTTCCAATGTAAATTGATCGAACATCAACCATGAATCGCATGTTAATGAAAAACGATAAAGAAAGCGGAGGAATCGGCTCAAGCTCCATGTCTAACACTGACTGGAGACAGAAAACCAAAGTGGTGGAATGAGCTCCCCATTGACATCAGAAAGCTTTTCCATCTTCCGGCGCAGACTGAAAACTCATCTCTTTCGACTCCACTTCGAGCAATACAATGAAAAAAATGAAAAAAAATAAAAACTAAATAAAAAGCACTTACATACTAACTAAGCACTTACATACTAACAAAGCACTTACATACTAACAAAGCACTGACATACTAACAAAGCACTTACATACTAACAAAGCACTTACATACTAACTAAGCACTTACATACTAATAAGCACTTACATATTAACAAAGCACTTACATACTAACTAAGCACTGACATACTAACTAAGCACTTACATACTAACTAAGCACTGACATACTAACAAAGCACTTACATACTAACAAAGCACTTACATACTAACTAAGCACTTACATACTAACAAAGCACTTACATACTAACTAAGCACTTACATACTAACTAAGCACTGACATACTAACTAAGCACTTACATACTAACAAAGCACTTACATACTAACTAAGCACTGACATACTAACAAAGCACTTACATACTAACTAAGCACTGACATACTAACAAAGCACTTACATACTAACAAAGCACTTACATACTAACTAAGCACTTACATACTAACTAAGCACTGACATACTAACAAAGCACTGACATACTAACAAAGCACTTACATACTAACAAAGCACTTACATATTAACAAAGCACTTACATACTAACAAAGCACTGACATACTAACAAAGCACTTACATACTAACAAAGCACTTACATATTAACAAAGCACTTACATACTAACAAAGCACTGACATACTAACAAAGCACTTATATACTAACAAAGCACTTACATACTAACTAAGCACTTACATACTAACTAAGCACTGACATACTAACAAAGCACTTATATACTAACAAAGCACTTACATACTAACTAAGCACTTACATACTAACTAAGCACTTACATACTAACTAAGCACTGACATACTAACTAAGCACTGACATACTAACAAAGCACTTACATACTAACAAAGCACTTACATACTAACAAAGCACTTACATACTAACTAAGCACTGACATACTAACTAAGCACTTATATACTAACAAAGCACTTACATACTAACTAAGCACTTACATACTAACAAAGCACTTACATACTAACTAAGCACTGACATACTAACTAAGCACTTATATACTAACTAAGCACTTACATACTAACTAAGCACTGACATACTAACAAAGCACTTATATACTAACAAAGCACTTACATACTAACTAAGCACTTACATACTAACAAAGCACTTACATACTAACAAAGCACTTACATACTAACAAAGCACTTACATACTAACTAAGCACTGACATACTAACTAAGCACTTATATACTAACAAAGCACTTACATACTAACTAAGCACTTACATACTAACTAAGCACTGACATACTAACAAAGCACTTATATACTAACAAAGCACTTACATACTAACTAAGCACTTACATACTAACTAAGCACTTACATACTAACTAAGCACTGACATACTAACTAAGCACTGACATACTAACAAAGCACTTACATACTAACTAAGCACTTACATACTAACTAAGCACTTACATACTAACTAAGCACTGACATACTAACTAAGCACTTACATACTAACTAAGCACTGACATACTAACAAAGCACTTACATACTAACTAAGCACTTACATACTAACTAAGCACTTACATACTAACTAAGCACTTACATACTAACTAAGCACTTACATACTAACAAAGCACTTACATACTAACTAAGCACTTACATACTAACTAAGCACTTACATACTAACTAAGCACTTACATACTAACTAAGCACTTACATACTAACAAAGCACTTACATACTAACTAAGCACTGACATACTAACTAAGCACTTATATACTAACAAAGCACTTATATACTAACTAAGCACTGACATACTAACTAAGCACTTACATACTAACTAAGCACTTACATACTAACTAAGCACTGACATACTAACTAAGCACTTATATACTAACAAAGCACTTATATACTAACTAAGCACTGACATACTAACTAAGCACTTACATACTAACTAAGCACTTACATATTAACTAAGCACTTACATACTAACTAAGCACTTACATACTAACAAAGCACTTACATACTAACTAAGCACTGACATACTAACTAAGCACTTACATACTAACAAAGCACTTACATACTAACTAAGCACTTACATACTAACTAAGCACTTACATACTAACTAAGCACTTACATACTAACTAAGCACTTACATACTAACTAAGCACTTACATACTAACAAAGCACTTACATACTAACTAAGCACTGACATACTAACTAAGCACTTATATACTAACAAAGCACTTACATACTAACTAAGCACTTACATACTAACTAAGCACTTACATACTAACTAAGCACTTACATACTAACAAAGCACTTATATACTAACAAAGCACTTACATACTAACAAAGCACTTACATACTAACTAAGCACTTACATACTAACTAAGCACTTACATACTAACAAAGCACTTATATACTAACAAAGCACTTATATACTAACAAAGCACTTACATACTAACAAAGCACTTACATACTAACAAAGCACTTACATACTAACAAAGCACTTACATACTAACTAAGCACTTACATACTAACAAAGCACTTACATACTAACTAAGCACTTACATACTAACTAAGCACTTACATACTAACAAAGCACTTACATACTAACAAAGCACTTACATACTAACTAAGCACTTACATACTAACTAAGCACTTACATACTAACAAAGCACTTACATACTAACAAGCAACAAAGCACTTACATACTAACAAAGCACTTACATACTAACAAAGCACTTACATACTAACAAAGCACTTACATACTAACAAAGAATTGCTAACAACGCACTTACATACTAACAAAGCACTTACATACTAACAAAGCACTTACATACTAACAAAGCACTTACATACTAACAAAGAATTGCTAACAAAGCACTTACATACTAACAAAGCACTTACATACTAACAAAGAATTACTAACAACGCACTTATATACTAACAAAGCACTTACATACTAACAAAGCACTTACATACTAACAAAGAATTACTAACAACGCACTGACATACTAACAAAGCACTTACATACTAACAAAGCACTTACATATTAACAAAGCACTTACATACTAACAAAGCACTGACATACTAACAAAGCACTTACATACTAACAAAGCACTGACATACTAACAAAGCACTTACATACTAACAAAGCACTGACATACTAACAAAGCACTGACATACTAACAAAGCACTTACATACTAACAAAGCACTGACATACTAACAAAGCACTTACATACTAACAAAGCACTTACATACTAACAAAGCACTTACATACTAACAAAGCACTGACATACTAACAAAGCACTGACATACTAACAAAGCACTGACATACTAACAAAGCACTGACATACTAACAAAGCACTTACATACTAACAAAGCACTGACATACTAACAAAGCACTTACATACTAACAAAGCACTTACATACTAACAAAGCACTTACATACTAACAAAGCACTGACATACTAACAAAGCACTGACATACTAACAAAGCACTTACATACTAACAAAGCACTGACATACTAACAAAGCACTGACATACTAACTAAGCACTTACATACTAACAAAGCACTTACATACTAACAAAGCACTTACATACTAACAAAGCACTGACATACTAACAAAGCACTGACATACTAACAAAGCACTTACATACTAACTAAGCACTTACATACTAACAAAGCACTGACATACTAACAAAGCACTGACATACTAACAAAGCACTGACATACTAACTAAGCACTTACATACTAACTAAGCACTTACATACTAACAAAGCACTTACATACTAACAAAGCACTGACATACTAACTAAGCACTTACATACTAACAAAGCACTGACATACTAACAAAGCACTGACATACTAACAAAGAATTGCTAACAAAGCACTTACATACTAACAAAGCACTTATATACTAACAAAGCACTTACATACTAACAAAGAATTACTAACAAAGCACTTATATAATAACAAAGAATTGCTATCAAAGCACTTACATACTAACTAAGCACTTACATACTATCAAAGCACTTATATACTAACAAAGGACTGGCTTATCTAAAGCTAGTTGAGTAGCACTTGAAATGGTTTGTCTCTATGAAACCTGATGTACTTATATGATTCTGTTTTCTTCAAGTTTGTATCTTCTTGGTCGAATGCATTTATTGTAAGTCGCTTTGGATAAAAGCGTCAGCCAAATGAAATGTAATGTAACCATCACTACCTCGCTGTATAGAGAAAATAACGAGAACTTGAAGCGAAAAAGACATTAAGAGGAAAGCACAACACAGGTAATGGGAGAAAACATGAGCTGAGCACACACAGATTAGACGAGGGAAAATCACTTCTCAGGTTACACACACACGCTTTGAAGTCTTACAAAAACAATCATCAAATGAAATCCTGAGTGTGTTACCCAGCGAGAGATTGTCCGTGTTTCGTTTCTGAACGAGGAGTCGCTGCACAGCTTCGTCCAGACTCCAACTGATGCTCTTTTGGACCTTAAGTAATGAAGAATAACAAGAATCTTAATCAGTGTTTCTGTTGGGAATCTCTCTGCAGAACAGAGATTAAACAGCGCTTGATTTCATGTTGGCAGCAGCATGCCTTAATTAAAATGTTATGAGCCAGACAGGCCTTCTGGATTGTTTTACAAATAGTTTTTATCAGGTTTTATTTAATATGATAATATAAAGCCTAGAGCTGAGGGAAATTCTTTGTGTTAAGAGTTACAGCCTGACCTTGCATAATGACTCTAGACGGGACTGTTATATTAAAAATAGCGTATTTTTAATAGCGTATTTTTAATATAACGAAAGACATGCCTTGGTGATGTCTTACTTTATTTAGATTTCCCATGCTAACTAGTTTTAATAGGCCCCCATGAAGAGAACCAGGCGCTGAAGCAAGTGGCCAAACGGTGGTACGGCAACTTCTGTGATAGTTAAAGGTGGGGTAGGTAATTCACTTCAGAAACACTTTTTGTTATATTCCATGGAATGCTCTTAACATCCCGATAGCAATGAATATCTTAAATGCTTTGACTGTGGAAGCCGTGGTACTGTAAAAAGCACGACCAATCATCTGAGCTGGCCCGGCTAAAATAACTGGATGGCCTACCTGCCTGTCAGCCTTCCATCTCGTGCACAATCTTATCTCGTGCCCTCATTGGTCATGTGCGCGTTCGTGTGTGTTGGAGGAGGGGCTCTGTAAGGAAGTCTGAAGGAAGGGGCAGATTTTTTTCGGCTGCGTACTTTCAAATTCTAGCGCACTCGAGCTGGTTTCTCCATGCTTACCTACCCTACCTTTAATTGACATCATTGGGCCCAAAAAACATTTTTTTCCTGTTGATTTATATTGGGAAAGACAAGTCTTTAAAACAGCGTTTAGGTTAAACTAACTACCCAGTACGAAGAATTGAAAAGCCCTTATTTAAATCATTAGGTCCTACAAGTTGTAAATTGTACTAAAAGAGTGTTATTTTCCCTTTACATTAATTTTGGGTAATTTGTGACTAAGTGGATGTGGGGGCGGGGCTTAAGAAAAACTAAAGTGCGCATGCAGAGTTAGTCTGTTTCAAAATGATAAGTGTTTTGTCATTATATTTGAAATGACTAGGTAATCTACGTTAGCTATCTTACAGCAGATTAGAAATAATATAGGAAGGATCCATGTGTTCACATTGTGGGAAAAGTACTTGGTGTGAACGCCCCTAATGTTAAAAAAAGCCAATAAAATGTAGACTTGAGGTAAGGTAGGTAGGTTTTATTGCATTGTTTTTTAAACTGCCGCAAGTTTCTCCTAATGGAAGTGTATTGGGCCTTTGTAACGTGTTTGCCTCGTCTCCAACAGTGTATCCACTTCTCTTTAAACATCCGTGAGTTGTACTTTCCATTGAAATCTCCCCGGACATGATGTTTTAGCTTAGATTAGATTCCACTTTATTGTCATTGCAAAGAGAACAAGTACCGAGAAAACAAAATGCAGTTAGACGTCCAGTCCAGAAGATGAAAAACAGTGATCTGAAGCCATGCTCTATTTCACGGTAAGTCCTGTGATTTGCCCTTGACTTTGATAAATTCATTGCAGAAGTTGTGATAAGAACAAAGCAGAGCTGTGGCGTACCTGAGACGAGTGAACGCGTTGCAAGGTAATAAGGGAGGACAGGAGGAGGTGGCTGCAGCACAGCAGGGCTGAGGGAGGACAGGCTGATGGAGCAAGTAAGGAAGAGGAGGAGGAGGAGGAAGAGAGGACTGTCTGCAGCTGGTCCATCAGGCCGCTGTTGGAGAGCAGCACGGAGACAGCTGGGGAGGAGAAGGAAGCGTGTCATTACACTTTGATGGGATCTGTGCTTGTATGTCAGTGTGTGTGTGTGTGTGTGAATAGCAGTTGGTCTGCAAAACTGCATGGTGCGCACACACAACTACACACTTTCATTTTTGTCTTTGTGGTGGCTTTGAGGACTTTGAAACATTACAAATTGATACACTTGTTAAATTTAAAACAGATCAAGCAAAATCACACACACACACACACACACACACACACACACACACACGTGCATGGTACAGATATCTTTTGATAAGAAATGAATGTAACCTGAAGCGAAAATTAATGGAATAAAGGGAGATATAATTTGCATAACATTGGGGTTATATACAGTACACTGGCAGCCAACCTGGTCCCTTGTAAGTAATATAATTATTTAATTACGCATAATTTAACGTGGTAATATCTTTCTCTTTGCCTTGAGATAGAGGATTGTGTTACTCTTATATTCACCGTCAGTTTAATCGACTTCTAGCCTGAAGCTGGAGGACTTTTCATCCTCAAACTCACCACTAGTGATAATGAAGCAGATGGTTAATGTAGGTACAATACGGCAGAAGCATTTAGGTAATATTCTTGGGGCATAATTAGCTTTGCTTCCCAATGGCATCCCTGTTCTCTGGCCACTCTTCTCACCTTAGAGCAATATCCCCCTTCTGTGTGTGTGTGTGTGTGTGTGTGTGTGTGTGTGTGTGTGTGTGTGTGTGTGTGTGTGTGTGTGTGTGTGTGTGTGTGTGTGAGTGCGGACTATGACCGGTAAAATATGCTGAAGACCGGCAAATCCAAATCTCTCCGGTCAAAATAATTTCCCCTTAGCACAATACCGCATCAGTTGCGCCACTTATGTGACAGACAAGATTAGTATGTGACAGACAAGAAGAGTATGTGACAGACAAGAAGAGTATGTGACAGACAAGAAGAGTATGTGACAGAATAGTATGTGACAGACAAGAAGAGTAAATTCTGATGTCTAACACTCAATGTGGAGAAAGAGATGTCCTGTATGGGTTGATTGTGCGTTGATCTGTTGGTAATGCCTCGGGGTTCCGGTGGGCATGTAAACAAATGCATAATGCTGCGCTATACTTTGTGGCCTCACCCGGTTGCATAGCGACACTTATTGTTTAGGTGTCTTGATAAGCAGGTAGTCATATCATTAGCTAGAACTAATCGATATGGACATAAACGCGAGTGAAGTCTAATCTGACGGGAGAGAGAGAGAGATCATGAGCGGAGCAAAACACACACTTCAGGTTAGAATATCACACGTAGCTATTTTAATTACCTCTCAAACTACCTAAACTAGTTATAGATATGTTTAGTTTTACTGTCGGGTCACTCATTATTGGATCCGCGAGCTGCATGATACTGACGGGCTGTCAGGAGAAGGAGAGAGCGCTCTTCTCTCTATTCCCGTGTTTTTGTAAATTACTGTACACTTTTGAATAATGTAGTTAATCTACTATAATTAGTTTGTTTAATATCGAATCATATCAATTTGTTTTAAAGCTCAATAAATAACAAAGAAGACCCTTGACCGGCACTTTTCTTATTTTGTCCGGAAGATTTAAACTTTAACGGACATGTTGACCGGCAAAAAGAAAATTCTAACGGAAACTCTGGTCACAACACAACATGTGTGAGAATCTCTCCAACTTCACTGCATAATATGGAGGAAATTGCAATTATCTTTTTTTGAATATTCTTTATTCATTTTGTGGAACACCGTTTGCAGCATTACAATACAATAACAATACAACTACAATTGTTTTGCCTTTGCTATTTGGACATTGCAATAGTCCATATTTCGCCATATTGTGCACCCCTAGAGTAAGACAATGTGCAGGACTGAGCCACTTCCTGTGTGTACATATTATGTAAATATATACAGTAGGTGTCAGCTTGTCTAGGTCATCCTCTCCCTGTTGTCAGAAGAGGTCAGAAGAAAAGACACGGAGGAGAGAGAAACAGGCAGAGGGTGAGGAGGCAGAGTGTGTGAAAGATGTAACTTTGGGAGAGGGGGGGGGGGGGGGGGGGGGGGGAGGAAAACACACGAGAGGAGATGTAGAGACAGGAAGTGTGTCTCACCTCTGTCGGTGCAGTGTGCCGGGGACAGGCTCAGGCAGCAGTACAGGAAGCTGAGGGCGGGAAGCAGGCTCTCTGTGTCGCTGGGCTTCAGCCTCCCTGCTAAATTACTCACTGACAGAGATGGCAAAAGTACTCACATCCTTTACTCAAGTAGAAGTACAGATACTCGTGTTTAAAAATACTCTGGTAAAAGTAGAAGTACTGACTAAACTTCTTTACTCAAGTAAAAGTAAAGAGGGCTTTGAAATGTACTTCAGTAAAAAGTACCCATAACTAGCAGCTGTTTTAAAGAGTACCTGACCTCCCTTTATATTAATAGAACAATAATGTCATTGTTAGCTAATGAATGTTTCCATGCTGAACAACGGCAACATGACAACGTTTTCATTGGTCCCTCTTCTTTAGAGAAGACCAGGAAATGATGGATACACGGATCGTGTTCAAATCAATAGGCACGCAATGACTCTAAAGAATAATGATCACGCCACCAAACACACATTCAAACTAAAGGAACCAGCCTGTTTGGAAAATGTAAGAAGTAGAAAGTACAGGTATTTGGGTTCAACATGTAAGAAGTAGAAAGTACAGGTATTTGTGTTCAACATGTAAGAAGTAGAAAGTACAGGTATTTGAGTTCAACATGTAAGAAGTAGAAAGTACAGGTATCTGGGTTCAACATGTAAGAAGTAGAAGTAATGTAAGAAGTCAAAGTAAAAGTCGTGGAGTAAAGTACTGATACCAGAAAATAGTACTTAAGTACATTAACAAAGTATTTGTACTCCACTACTTCTCACCTCTGTTCACTGACACACACACACACACACACACACACACACACACACACACACACACACACACACACACACACACACACACACACACACACACCCACATTCAAATGTTACGACTCACTTAATATGTTATCTCTCTAACGCATGTCAAAAGTAACGCTACGAGCTTCGCTAATTTACCGCCTGACACGCCAAGCCTCCCACCTGTCAGAGAGGACTTAATTAATCTGATCCGGCGGTGAAAATGTCATGGATGAGGAGCTGGAAAATATAACTACACACACAGAATGATGCTCCACAGATGCGGGGAAAAAAGACAAGTCAGAGGGGATGATGGGTGCCGACATCAAGGCAAAAAAAGTCAATGTGACTCCTATCATATTACGCTAAAAGGTTTAATTATCCAGATATGTCTGAGCAGCGTTTGCAGATCAGCCACGAGCAATCCCCCGCTGATAAGAATATTTAATCAAAAACAAGTGATGCATTCAATTAAGGGGGAGTACAGGAATAGAGATGTGTCTTTTACTAGATGAGTCTATAACGCTTTAAATTCAGCATTGATATCTCACTGCTAATACACCACTGTGTTTATTGTGATGTACACGTCATGTGTCGTATCTGTTGCTTTGAGAATCCATTTTAAGATTTTATTGCTGACTTAGTTTCAAGGCCTTGAGAGGCATCGCCCCAAGTTATTTATCTGACCTTTTAAAGCCCTATGCCTCGTCCCGCACCCTGAGATCCTCAGAGGTAAAGCTGCTGGTCGTTCAAAGGTCCAGGTCCAAACACAAAGGAGACAGAGCCCCTGGGTTGCGGTCGAATAGTCCGTTTAGCTTAGGAACCTTCCTAACGGAGTGAAATGACCCGGAAGTACGTCAGTGGCAGCCATGATAAGTGCCATTCGAATTCTCTAAATCAGGGGTGCCCAACCAGTCGATCGCGAGATGTGTCTAAAAATAGAACAACGATATTCTGTTTTATTGTTAATGTCCTATAACATAATCTTCCTGTGCCAGAATAATGCACTTGAACGCATCAAAGCGTTGTGATTGGCGTGACCCCATGTATCGGGGCGTGGCTGGTGGGCAGTGGGCACTAGTTAGCTGACGTTGTCCCTGGGTGTTTCTCAATCGCGAGTATGCTTGCTTGGTAGCACAAGTCTTCCGAGCGTCTTGCTTCAGAAGCGAGGCAAGAATACTTCCTAGCATTCGGAAAACGAAGAGTGTGAGCAGGCGAGCAAGTGTGCAGGTGTGCGTCATACGAGAGGCCCCGCCTTACATTTTCCGCCACAGATTTGGGGAAATTGGTCCGTGCGCAAACCATTGTGGGGATTTTAAGACCGCGGAGTCTACTCATGTGCAGCCTCAATATTTGTCCTAACGAAGTACGCCGGGGTCGGTAGATTTCCAAGTATGCTGGAGATTGGAACAGTACTTCGGCGGCACTCGATGACGTAGTATGCTTGAAATAGTGGCTCTGAAACAGCTTTACTCGCGATTGAGAAACACCCCGTGTCAACTGGAGTGACAGTCTGCACACACACAAGACCGCAATAATGGCAGAAGCAAAAAAGCCCAAAATATATCATTTTCACTCCGAGTAGGAGGATGATTATTTTTTTGTTTATTCCAATTCAAAGTCCATCTGTCTCTCATCTGCAATGCGAGCGTGGCTTTACCGAAAAAAGCTTTTTTTTTGTTTTTATTTTTATTTCATTCTCAAGTGCAGCAACCTGCCACAAAACCCAATTTGATGTTCCTGCCTATGTGAGGGAGACACATCCTGAAGGTGTTGAAGAAGCACCTGCCTCTAAAGTAGGGCATGTGTTTGATTATGCAGAGTAATGTAAACTCTGTGTGTTTGTGTATGCTAATAGATAAGGGCTGTGGGGAGTTACGCTCAGTGTGACCTCACCGTGATACAGCAGCTTGAAGTGCACGCCGTCCATCTTGCTGCTGTCAGAGGAGGATGAAGGCGGGTCGCTGGCCTGCATCACGCAGAGCAGCTTCAGCAGCAGAGGGAGCGAGTTCACTGATGAACAGAGAGAGGAAGACACAACCGTCAATACAGATGAGAAGAAGATCCAAGAGAGAGAAAGGGAGACATTAGGGCTGCATGATTTAGGGAATAATAACTCATTGTGAGTTTTAATGACATCTGTATGTACATTTCCCTTCTGTGGGACTAATAAAGGTATTCTGATTCAAATTAGGTTACGATTCAAGACGTTGGATTGATTATTCATTTTGTAATCAATACTGTCACATATGATTATTTAAAGATATGTTTAAAATGACCACGGTGTGATTTTTAAGAGGAACGGTACCACACAAAGATATTTTATTAAGTCTGTAGACTAAGAATTGAAGGCTGGGATAAGATAAGATAGGATGTAATTTATTGATCCCAAATTGGGAAATGTTTGCGTTGCAGCAACATAAAAAACAAGGCATTGCACATAAGTAGAAATTAAAAGAGTATAAATAAACTATTCAAAAATAGAAATAAAACAGCATTAAAAAGTAAGAATATACAAGTTGACCGTGAAGATAAAAAATCTATAAACTATCTGACGATAAATATTTATATATAGTATAAGAGACTTCTAATGAAACTACTAAACGTCGTCATGAGACACAGTGGGTGTTTCTCAATCGCGAGTAAAGCTGCTCCAGAGCCACTATTTCAAGCATACTACGTCATCGAGTGCCGCCGAAGTACTGTTCCAATGTCCAGCATACTTGGAAATCTACCGAGCCCGGAGTACTTCGTTTGGAGACATTTCGAGGCTGCACATGTGTAGACTCCGCGGTCTTAAAATCCCCACAATGCTTTGCGCACGGACCAATTTCCCCAAATCTGTGGTGGGGCCTCTCGTATGACGCACACCTGCACACTTGCTCGCCTGTTCCATTCTTCAATTTCCGAGGCTAGGAAGTATTCTTGCCTCGCTTCTGAAGCAAGACGCTCGGAAGACATGTGCTACCAAGCAAGCGTACTCGAGATTGAGAAACACCCAGAGACTGAGATTAGCTGTGGTGATGGGAATCCATGGGACCGTGATGTAGTTTGTTAATTACTTAAGAATCTTACAAGTGGTGTTAATATGTGGAGATTATCCTGCTGAACAAAATATCATCAATACATGTTTCCCATGGAGTTTATTTTCTGCAATATTACAAAAAAAAACAAAGAAATCTCATTGGCTTTTTGTTACGGGAGCCCTCGCAATGCTAACCATTAGAAAAATAAGCCATCACTGCACTAATCTATTGGTAACATTGCTCAAACTGACACTGAAACATTGATATTGAATTTCTCTAACAAGCTGAGTATCAACAGGAGACAGGAAGATGAAGCACATCTTCCTCAGAAATATAAAAAAAAGACAATGCCTAATTTAAATAACAATATTCCCGATCCATGAGAGTAAGGGGTGGAAAAGAGAGCAGTCATCTACATACTTCCTTCACCCCTGCAGTGCATCATATTAAAACGTGTCCCCTTGGGACGCCGCTGCATTACAGCCTAATATAAAGTTTATATTAATGCAAATTACAGTGGATTTAACTGGAGCATGTGCACGGATAACGGCCTGTGATCCCCAAAGGGCGGGAGATGAGCGGAGTCGGAGACGGTTGTACCGCAGCAACAGTTAGAGTTTCCCCAGCTGGCTCTCTGGGGTTTTGCCCTTCAGCTGCGCTCATTAACCTGGGCCAGTTTATAGATATTATAACACCATCTGCCACACGATTCCACCAAAAAGCACCAGATATCAGGTCGAAAACCACCAGACTCAGGGACAGTTTCATCCCACAGGCCATCAGACTGTTAAACACCTGAACTATTGAAAGAACATCCATAACATTCATCTGTTTGCAACTTATATATATAAATATTCCAATTACTGTATATTGACTATTCTGCACTATTTCTACTATATTCTATTTCATTTTATTTACTTGCACTATTTTATCTGTTTTATTGTGTTGCACTGTTGGAGGAGCCTGTGACCTAAGATTTTCATTGTCATAACTACACTGTAGCTATGCACACATGACAATGAAAGCCTTGAATCCTTGATATAAAGGCAGGGACGGGCAGTATGTCTGAAGAAATGAACCATGGGAGAGCGTTCATGTCCGGCTTGATGTGGACAGGCAGCAATTTTATCGAGAATCAAATAAACATCCAAAAAATTAAGGAAAAGTAATTAAAACTCAGCTTTTGGGGCATATTTGCTTTTCATTTTCAAGGCTTTTGTTGTCATAGCTACAGTGTAGTTATGACAACGAAAATCTTAGGTCACAGGCTCCTCCAAACAGATGAATATTATGGATGTTCTTTCAAAAGTTTAGAGACATGTTAATGTTTTTAAAGTCTGTCATGTTTCGTTCTCATCTGCTTTTCTAACATTCATTAACTTTAAGCAAATCGATTGTGATGACATGATCAGTATTATTGCTTGTAGATGGCACTGCATATTTTGTTACACACAATTTTACATATTTGTTGTTGTTTATATTGTTGTGTAGTGTTGTTATGTATTGTACAATATCGTTTTGTATCTTTTTATTGCACATTTAAACTTCTTATGTTTGTATAAATCATTTGGTTTTATTTTTATTCTAACCCACACCCGCTCCAGAGACCACATCACCCCCGTCCTTCAAAACCTGCACTGGCTTCCTGTCCGTAAACTAATACACTTCAAAATCCTTCTGCTAACACACAAAGTTCTCAATAACCAGGCCCCCCCCCCCCTACCTTACCGACCTGATCCACCACTACACCCCTTCCCGCTGCCTTCGCTCATCAGAAGCCGATCGATATCGGCCGATACTCACTCTCTGCCGATCGATCGGTGCTCTCTAAAAATGCCGATCGCGAGAGCAGATCGCATGACGTAAAATTATGACGTAAAATACATGACACTTTTCTCTGTGCGCGGCAAAACAAGCTCGCCAAAATGGCTTCACCAGTCTGGCAGTATTTTAAGGTGTCCGAAAATGACAGTAAAATAGCGGTATGCAACGTGTGTGTGCAGCAGAAATCCTGCAGCTCCACCCGCTGTGACGGACCGGTGAGCGGAGCAGAACACACACTAAGAGTTAGACCTAACACACTTAGCTATTTAATCTACCTCTGGAACAAACTAAACTAGTTATACATATATTTATTCTTCACTGTCGGGTCACTCATTACTGGATCAGCGAGCTGCATGAGATACTGACGGGCTGTCAGGGGAGAGAGAGAGAGGGGAGAGAGGAAAAGAGAGCGCTTCCGCTCATTTCTCCCGTGTTATTATCCAAAGTTAATGTAAACTTGAATAATGTTATGTTGGTTGTTGTTTGTGGAAGCTCCAGTGAATGAGCCCCATTAACTGAGTTTTAAACATCACTTTAAATGGAAGATCCCCATAGGCCCCGCCCACTCGATCGGCGATCGGTATCGGCCGATACTGATTCCGGCGATCGGCCCCAAAATTGGCGATCGGAGCATCCCTACTATTTATCCTCATCACTTATACTCCAACTGGGTGAATTAACTACATAAACAACTATCTCATTTCCCACTGTCTGTAATGACAAAGGATGCTGGGAGGATTAATGGCTCTTCACTTCCAACATTAATCAGAAGCAACAAGCGTTCCTACTTCGGTCCATTTAAAACGTTTTAAAAGAGACTTTTTCCTGGCAGAACAGATGAACAAAATCCCAACTTTTGCCACTTTAACATATAAAACAATGATATACAGTAGTTGTTTTTTCGGACGTGTCGAGCATTCCTAATTGGTGTTCAATGAACTGTCCTTTAAATAAATTCAATCCAAAGTGACATTTTCTGTGTTTGCCCTGTGATAAGTGTCCTTGATAGTTGAATTGTCACCATTTTGGGAGCATTTTGCATAATTTGTTTGCTGACAGAGGATTAGAAATATGCAGAATCTTTATGTGATCATAATTAACCCGCCTTTATTACCGTCTTTGTAATTGATCGCACTTCAAACAGTTCCAAGAACCATCAGAAATAAAACCCTGGCTCGTAAAATGACCCAACAAACATAAATCCACGCAAATAATCTTTCAAATTATCCAATATGTGAGAATAATTAAACTAAGTGCCCTCCATTAGGTTGAAAAAATGAACATTGTGCTAAATGGACGTATTAATCCATGCAAATTGTTTTATAGATATTTCACTGCTGTAACGCAATTGTTATGTCCATATCATTATCTCAATTCTCTAATTAATTTGGTAGCGTTGTCAGACTAAGTGTTTGGAATTGAGCATTAATATGTTTTTATAAAATAAAGTGAGGAAATCCAGGAATGTATCCCTAAAATCTCAATTTAAATGTACAAATAAGGTATTTAAGCTGTGATACTTGTCAGGGAATAATATGCCCTGCATGTCATCTTTCGCCCATCTTGACGCAGATGCCCAGCCTAGGGCAGCCGCTATCTCCCTTAAAGGGGACCTATCATGCGAAATGATTTTGTACGTCTTTTATACATGAATATGTGTCCCCGGTGTTCCAGGGAACTCACCAAGTGTCAGAAAACACAACCCTCTCTATTTTCCTCCATACCCAAATCTCTAAAAAAGGGGCTGCAACGGATCTGATCAAAACTGATCCAGATTTGAACACTTTACTGACGTCAGGACGGTGGCGCTACGGCTATTGGGCCAACTCCTCCAATCAGGAGGAGACAGCCACGGCCATTGCCGTTAGAAAGTGCTGGAGACGCTGTATTACATATGCCAGGCCTGTAAGTGGCGCTGTAGTCTGCCACAAAAGCAGCGAAGAAGACTTGGTTACCATGGTTACCCTTCTGTTTATTCTCCGCTGTGGCTTTCTTTCTCCCTCCCCGAGGCAAGCGTTTGCTCACGCTGCAATGCAATCCCTCCCCGTCGAGGCAAGCACTGTAATTCTCTCCGGTTAGTCCACCAGCAGATGACAAACACCCACCTCTCAGCCTCTTCCAAGGAACGAGGGGACCGTGCGGCAGAGTTTCAGTTTCAGTTACTTTCACCGGTCAAGATGTCCGTTAAAATTTAAATCTTCCGGACAAAATTAGAAAAGTGCCGGTCAAAGGTCTTCTTTGTTATTTATTGAGCTTTAAAACAAATGAATAACGACTCTATATAATAAAACACGGAGGACGGAGATCTCTTTTTCTCCCCCTCTTCTGACAGCCCAGCAGCTGATCAGAGCACGTCTCCCCTCTCCTGCAGGGGGGCGTGGTCAGCAGAATCAGACCCGTAGACAGCAAACAGCACATAGAGCGAAATGAGGCATGGCTAAAATGCATGATCTGTTTGGTATTTTGAAAACAGAAACGTATAAATATACCTTATATAGGTATGGCCCTACAATATATCATTTAAATATAGCATGATAGGTTTCCTTTAAGGAGGGGCTGCCCTAGCATTTTGTTGATGTTGCCAGTTTATGACCGGGCAACTCTCGGTCAGAGATAGTTATTGTTTTGGGACACCAAATGTGATTCAGTGTCCTCAGCTGTTTAGTCTATCTATTGAAGAATGTTGATTATTACACTCTGAACTAGTTAAAACGTTGAACTACAGAGGGGTTCTTCAGAATTGATTGTGGCATCTCTACCCTGTGGTCAGATCGTGGCCCTGTGACATGTCTTGTGAATTCTCCGGCCGAAGCTCCAAATAAACCGTCAGTGTTTGCAATCAAAGCTCCAGCTCCATCGTGTCTCTTTGAGTCCTGACTCCCAATTGCTTCAGAAGTTTCCCCCACAATACATACAAAACCAAAGAGATATTTCAACATTACCACGTTTTCTTGAAGCTTTTTAGGCGGAGAACTGATGTTATTTTACCATGGCAATAAAAGGACTTAAAAGCCATTGTTCTTTTCATAATTTCAATGTGGAAATAAACCGAACCAACAAAATGATTGCCTGGAAAATGGATTGGATTATTCTGCGTAATATTCGCTATCTGCTGCCTCGGGAGCATTTACATTTTCAGTTTTGTTTTTATTTCGGTTTGAGGACAAGTGACTGCCACATTAATGCTTTTTGGTTCACCAACAGAACACATTTTGAAAGTTTCAGTGGCAGTATTCAATCCCACTGTCACTCACACTCATATATATTATTTATCACAAGTTGGGAGAAGAGTAGACATTGAAGAGGTTTCATCCTGCCTCCTCAGCCTTTTCTTTGCACCTGACAGTGAGCTGCTTACAGCGAAGCCAAAGGTCCAAAAACTAAAACAATTTGAAGCAAAACCTGGGAGTTAAAGGTCCCATGTCACGGCCATTTCTACGGATCATAATTCCATTGTTGTGGTCTACTAGAATAGATTTACAATGTGCAATTTTCCAAACTCACATTGGTTTCTCATACAGCATCTCTGTATAGTATGTGTTATTCACTCTCTGTCCTAAACGGCTTGTTGGAGCTCCTGCCCCCCCCCCCTCCCTGTGAGCCCAGTGGCCGTCTGCGAGACAGCGAGACACAGCTAAACCCAGCCCGAAACCAGCCCGAGCACACACACACACCCGCAGCCTGGCTGGGAGTTTGTGTGTGTGCTCACACACAAACTCACAGCCTCGCCGCGTCCCGCCGTCTCAGGGTGGAGAAATCGGCGGAGCTGCAGCTGAGAAAAGATTGAGTGTGTATGTGTGAGGAAGTCCACGGATTGGTCAATTTGGACCAATCCACGGACTTAACGTAACGGCTCCGCGGACGTAACGTAACGTCACTATACCCAAATACGTCACTATACCCAAATACGTCACTATACCCAAGAAGAAAACAATGGAAAAAGAGAAATCTCCAACGAGGCGTTCTGGGGCAGCATAGACAGGTCTTTTCTGTGTTAGAGTTTTACTCGCTACAGGGTGTACTTTGAGGGTTTGTGACTTTGCAGACCGTTTACATGCAGAAGCTACATAACACACAAGGGGACGGGTAATAACCGGAAAAGCATGACATGGGACCTTTAAATATGTAATTGATGAGTCTAATTGGAATTCTGGTGGTATTTCAGTGGAAGGACATGTAACCAAAAATAACCTTTAACACAACAGGATGACTTTCTTAGAACAATGTGTACGTGTTTGTGCCTGAACTTGTACTGATTGGAAGATATAATGAAATTAAAAGCTGTCATTGAGGCAGAAACAGTGTCTGTCGCATTATAAAAACTAAACTCAGGGGAGTAAACTGAAAAAATGACCTCTATCTATCAACTGGAAATGAATGTTTCTGTGTTTTAATGGTATATAACTGGGCGTCAGACTAAATCAGTTGGCATTAATCTTGAACTATGATTGTGAATAACCACTGCTCAATCATCCGATATTCTTCTGTGTGATGAACTGAATATATTACAGCAGCGGTGGATTCTGTGGCCCTGAGAGTCAGAAAGCTATCAAGGCTTTAGTGTCTGTGAAGGACTTTGCTAAGAGTTTTGAATAATTACATATGTATATTAGGAAGTATAAAAGAAAGATAACTCCTTGAAGATTATGACTCAGCAAACTAAAGGTGAATATTAAGCTTTCAAAAGACAAACAACATTTGATTTTTTTATGGCCCATGAGGATGTCAGCTCGTAAAGTGAAATGGCTTTGATCAGTGTGAGACAACAAGTGTGTGTGTGTGTGTGTGTGTGTGTGTGTGTGTGTGTGTGTGTGTGTGTGTGTGTGTGTGATTATGCATATCGGTGTGCATGCATTGGTAATGTGATGTTTAGTTCAGTACAGTGGTGAAGGTGTGATGATTCCCAATGCGTTTGGAAGTTAGTACCTCGCATAATATATTCACAACTCCCTGATTATGCACATTAATTTCAAACGAGAGAGCCCATCGCTGCGCTGCAGGTGCATGAAACTGTCAGGTCTGTTTTACGCTGTGTGCTTCTTCTCTGCATTGCCTATAAATTGCTAATAAATCAAAAGCGTTCGCCCCGTGAAGCGTTCCTGATAAAAACATTGCCTCACTGACTTTAAAATTCATTATCGGAATCAGAATGAGGTTTATTACCAAGTAGGTTTACACATACAAGAAGTTTGGTTGGGTGTATAATGGGGCAGTATAAGGTCACATGGGTCGGAAGTAGAGATGGGCGGGACTTCGCCTCTCTATACATATTTGTATATATATTTGTCTTTTTTGTATTATCCATTACGGTAAACTTGCTTTTAACCCTGCACAGATTTCTTCTCTAGGAATGCAACAGGTGTTTATATAACTCTCTCCCTGTGTGTCTCTCTCACCCTGTGTGTCTCTCTCTCCCTGTGTGTCTCTCTCTCCCTGTGTGTGTCTCTCTCCCTGTGTGTCTCTCTCTCCCTGTGTGTCTCTCTCACCCTGTGTGTCTCTCTCTCCCTGTGTGTCTCTCTTTCCCTGTGTGTCTCTCTCTCCCTGTGTGTCTCTCTCACCCTGTGTGTCTCTGTCTCTCTCCCTGTGTGTCTCTCTCACCCTGTGTGTCTCTCTCTCCCTGTGTGTCCCTGTGTCTCTCTCACCCTGTGTGTCTCTCTCTCCCTGTGTGTCTCTCTCTCCCTGTGTGTCTCTCTTTCCCTGTGTGTCTCTCTCTCCCTGTGTGTCTCTCTCTCCCTGTGTGTCTCTCTCTCCCTGTGTGTCTCTCTCTCCCTGTGTCTCTCTCTCTCCCGGTGTGTCTCTCTCACCCTGTGCAGCGTGTCCCTGGCTGAGTCCATGTCCCATGTTCTCCAAACTGTGTCTCTGCAGCGCCTGCAGCACGGCCGGCCTCAGACTGAAACACAAGTCAGACTCAAAGTCTCTCTGAGCTCGCAGAAGGACTTCCAGCACTCCCAGAGCTCTGCCTGCCAGGGGGGGGCTCTCTGCTGCAGACCATGTCCTGTAAGACACACAGTCAGACACATTTAGGAGGGGTTTGTGTAGCAATAATATCATATATATATATATATATATTTGTATACAAATTCAAACATATTTATTTTCCTAAACTGATATATTCCTGCACTTTAACTGTCTCTGCATATTGAAGTATGAATGCTTGTTGTTTGTACGTTGTCTTCTCCTGGATGTTGTACGTCTCTTGTTTTTTGTATTTTTAATGACACCTTAAAGAAAGGTACTCATCTCATTGTACCTGTATAATGACAATAAAGGATTCTATTCTATTCTATTAACACAGTCAAAATAACTAAGGGAATGAATCCAGGTAAACATAAATAAAATGCTGCTCAATATAATTGTGTTTTCTATAAACTAGCTTGAGCTAATTGGTATTTAATTGTACTTCAATGATTGAAAAGATGATTGGTCATCGGCAGTGAATGTAGGGGATTACTTTAGTCGTTGCTATTGTTTGTGTGTTCTTTGTAATTAATTGTGTCTCTTTTTACATTCAATCAGTACAGACCACTGTCTCATTTGTATGCATATATTTTGTTTTCCATTTCTAAATAACAAACACTGGTTATGCATTGTCGAAACGCAATACAACGATTTTTAATCAGAAAAGACGATTCTGACATCTAAGGGAACTTACTATCAGAACTACGATGTGGTCTAAAAATAATCTTATCTAATAACCATCTGCTCCCTACTATGCATTAAGAGATGTTTTCATGTGGAGCGGCATGCCTGTCGCTGAGCTTTGTCAATTAGCACAAGTGACGATTTCATTTAAATCCTTAATTACAATCTGGTTTCCCTTATTTTATTCGTATGCCTGCTCTCCATAAGAGTTGTACACTTTTTTCAATACGACTTAGACTGGGATGAACTATGGCTGCCCCCTCTCTTTTTGAGACACTATGAAGGCTTCTCAATTCTCTAATTTCCCCTCCTCGACTCCTCTCCTCGACTCCTATCCTCGACTCCTATCCTCGTGTCTTAGTCCCGCCCACAGGAGATGCGTTGGGAAGGAGGGGAACCGAGGAGAGGAGGGGAAGCAGCAGGCGGTTAGAGAAATGAGAACTCCTCTCCTCTGAGCGGTCATTTTAAAGAGACGTCCATTAATGATGACAGGAGGCACAGCAGCACTCTGTCTGATGGACAGATGTGTTCATGACGACTTATATATTTACTTTTAATTCATTCACAGTGCGGTATAATGAGACAATAACAGGCTACAGATGCGCACACACACACACACACATATATATATATATATTGATTTCAGAATCAAACAAGTATGAGAGCACTCTCATAATAACGTAACACTATCAGAGACTGGATATATCCAGGGGATGCATGCAGAGCTGTCATTGGCTGAGATAAGTCCGGCCGTGCGTCACGACTCTTTGAAACATCACTGTTGCCGGAAATACATCCGAGGAGGAGCCGTGGAGGACCCATCAGTGTATCCTCGATTATAGCTCCTCCAGAGAGCCTCCTCCATGCTCGATCCTCGATGCTCGGTCCTCGATGTGCATTGAGAGAAATGTCCTTCAACATGGCGCGCTGAAATCCATTTCTGGGTCACTACCGGAGGACCGAGGATTCGAGGAGGGGAAATTAGAGAATTGAGAAGCCTTCTATTATTGACTCATTATACCGCACTGTCAATGAATTAAAAGTAAATATATAAGTCATCATGAACACATCTGTCCGTCAGACAGAGTGCTGCTGTGCCTCCTGTCATCATTAATGGACGTCTCTTTAAAATGACCGCTCAGAGGAGAGGAGTTCTCATTTCTCTAACCGCCTGCTGCTTCCCCTCCTCTCTCCTCGGTTCCCCTCCTCGACTCCTCGCTTGCATCTCCTGTGGGCGGGACTAAGACACGAGGATAGGAGTCGAGGAGGGCAAATTAGAGAATTGAGAAGCCTTCTATGTATTTCTTATATTATATTTCAATTGTCTCACTACAGAATGAAAACTGAATTTCTCTTTGTGGATTTATGAAGTATTTTTTCTCCTTCTTAATATCATAAGATGATATCATATTGTAGCACCAAGTAATCCTTTTCTGAAGGGAGGCATGGATAAAATCATCACTCTGTTTTCTAAATGCTTATTCATTTAACTGGATATTTTTTCTTTGACAGTTATCTTTTCATCCATGCTGGCATTTGACTTCTTAATTTCCCCATTCCCACATATTCGACAATATGAAAATAGGAACAATTGCCCAATCTTAGCCCAAACTATAACACCCAAGTCTTATTACAGGGTATATGCAGGAATCCTGAAGTGAAGTGTAATCCCTTTTAAGACCTTTTTTAAGACCCTTTCCATACATTTTAAGACCTCATCGCCACTTGGAGTTTTAACCGGTTACCTTGGCGACACACTTTACCTCACATTGACTATATACAGTATTGATTGTCCTTCCTCCTTATCTTCCAACCATTTGGACGCAGACTTGCATTTCCCCATAACGATGTTGTTTAACAACCGGCGTAAACGGACCTTCGCGCTATCAAGCAGTGAGCGTGCGATGTCCTGTTCAGATGACGTCAAATCCAACGGGATGCCATAAATAAACTACACAGAATCACACTACACACCTACGCAATGATTACATTCAGGCAAACTGTAGAATACAACCTTTTTGGACAATTTATATACTTATTGAAAACAAGCTACAAAACGTAATACCTTGGAAAATGCCGTTTCATACTTTTTAATAACCTTCATTTTCACTAAATTGATTTATCAACTTTTAATACTTTTTAAGACCCCGCGGTTTACTGCTCCTGGCTAGTCTTAACTGGGTGTGAAACGCTGCAGCATATCAGGCAGCATTTAAAAGCATCTTCACTTTATTATAGCCAATTAAAATGCAGCAGGTCTTTAATTCTCACCAGGAGGGTCAGCAGGACAGCTGGGTGTTTGTCTATCAGAGTCAGCAGCTCCAGTGTTTCTGTGTCCGGCTCCTTATCCTCCTCCGCACCGCTTTCTCTCCACTCTCCTTTCTCCTGTACCAAGAAATAAAAGCCGACCAGCTTTTCATTACATTTAAATCGTGAGAGGTTAAAGAGAATGATTAAAAAAAAACTGAATTTCTAACACTTGTGAAATAATTAGTGAAACTTGTTGAAGTGTTTTTAATCAAAGCACTACAATTATTTATTGATGAATACTTGAAAGAAGTGAAACTATTTCCCCCCCTTACCGTGCTCTGCTCTGCATCTGTGTGCTGCGTCTGCTTGGTCAACCAAAGCTCCAGGACCAGCGACCCGAATTTCTCCACTAGATCGGGATATCGATAGATGAAGTGGAGGAGAGCAGGGTGGTGGATGTAGAGGGAGGAGAAGCTTTGGGAGGAGAGCGCCTTGCTGATGCAGCTCAAAGGAGCCTTCGGTGTTGGTAAAAAAGATTGAAACATAAGTTAGGTAAATAGTTTTGCAAGATGAAAACAAACTTTGAAACCATAGAGAGGCGAAGTCCCGCCCATCTACTTCCGACCCATGGGACCTTATTTCGGAAAAATGATGTATTGAAGTCAATGGGGAGAGAAAGATTATCTTTCGATGCCGTTTGAATTGTGCCACGAATTACACATATGATGTTTGTCAATCTTAACAAATAATTTCCATGTCAAAAAAGTCAGTTTGTCGTAAAACTGTTGAAATATAAGACTATGAAAAATACGCAACTAGAAAGACTACAAATCCCAGAATCCCGGTCCCGCATGCTGGCTCTTACGGAACCGACTAACTCCCCTTGTGTGTATGTGCAGCTCTCAACATGCCCAGACTTGGAGTGATTTTCACCTCTTTTAATACTTTTCTGCCTCATTCTGAAAGAAAGAGGTGAAATGTGCCAACGTGACGGCCGTCTTGGTGTGTGGTGCGAGGCGGGAGATGTAGTTCATTGAGCGGTTTCACACAAAAAAAGTGTTACTTCACAGTTTTACGACACATTTTAATTTTTTTGACTTGCAAAATTATCTTTTAAATTGACAAACATCATATGTGTAATTCGTGGCACAATTCAAACGGGATCGAAAGATAATCTTTCTCTCCCCCATTGACTTCAATACATACTTTTTCCGAAATATGGTCTCATGGAGGTCCACCGGAAACGGAGGGACTTCGCCTCTCTATTGTAATATATGGAGCTACCAGCTTCATATTAGTATGTAGTGTCTCTACTTTAAAGAATCCTCTCCTGCTGATGTTCAGGTGTATATCAGTATGTAGTGTCTCTACTTTAAAGAATCCTCTCCTGCTGATGTTCAGGTGTATATCAGTATGTAGTGTCTCTACTTTAAAGAGTCCTCTCCTGCTGATGTTCAGGTGTATATCAGTATGTAGTGTCTCTACTTTAAAGAATCCTCTCCTGCTGATGTCCAGGTGTATATCAGTATGTAGTGTCTCTACTTTAAAGAGTGCTCTCCTGCTGATGTTCAGGTGTATATCAGTATGTAGTGTCTCTACTTTAAAGAGTCCTCTCCTCCTGATGTTCAGGTGTATATCAGTATGTAGTGTCTCTACTGTGACATGTCTCCATGCTTTAATGTTCAAAAAGCTCTTTATTGTTCTCATACTGCCTGTGCTGCAGCACCTCTTTTCCCCCTCTGTCTGAAACCAGAGCCCAGTCTGCTCTGATTGGTTAGCTGGCCGGCTCTGTTGTGATTGGTCAACCGCTAAGAGATGTCCCGCCCCTTAGCCTATCACGTACAATGTGTTGCAGATCTATCCAATAGTAGCGTGAGTGTTACATAATGATGTCACCATGTTATGGAAGTAAACAAAGGAGTCCAGTGGAGGCGTCTCAAGTGTGCAATAATATAATATGATGCTCTTTGAACTAAACAGAAGTACATTATTTTGAGGAAATACTATTTGTTGCATCCAAAGATGAATAAAAGCTGTCAAACTGTTGTTTCTGAGTAAAAGCTGCCACCTGCAGTGCATGCTGTTCTTTCTTTGTGAACAGGAAAATCAACACTTTGAACTCCTTCATCTTAAGGAAATCTTGGCACTTTAATGTTGTACCGCTTGAATCTCGCTGAATATGCCTCGAGGCGGACTACCTGCCTCTGCTGGCAGTGTGTGTTGTGGTGAGATTTAAAGGGATAAAAGGTACAACTGTTGAAAATACTGAAACAAGGCAAATATACAAAATGGTCATTACTGAAAAGCATAAAACACAGTTAGAGGAGGAAGAAGTACTCAGATCTTCAGTAAAAGTTCTGCACTTAAAATATTTTAAGTACAAAAGTATCAAAATATACTTTAGTACCAAAAGTAAAAGTACTCGTTACGCATGGCCCATTTTAGAATCATAAATATTAAATGATTGGATTATGATTATCGGTGCATTAATGTGTTCATCACAGCTTGTAAAGGTGGAGCTAATTGTAATGACTTTATATTCAGCTGCTAAATATCTGACCCTATAATTATATGTCACTAGAGTGCCACAGTGACGCGTCCTAAAACCCGGAAGTAAGTTAGCATTTTACCACTTCCGGTTCCTTCGACAAAAACCAATGCAATTTCTCCATAGGATTTAGGAAAATAGCTGAAAGAAGGTCTGTGGTTGAGACACGTTCAAGAGACGGATCACGTTTTGTTCTACGACATTAAATACATCAGCAGTGACCCCGCTGGTGATTTCTGAAGAGTTGACGTGTCTGAAAAACGATGGTTGTTACCAAGTTGCTGAATAGGACTACAGAAGTTGTCGAGGCCGTTGTACGTCATTACACCGAACACGTAAACACTCCCGCTAAGTTTGTTTCCCCGTGTTCTGCTTGAAAGCAAGTACCTGCCTCCTGCAAACTGTTCAAACAAACGCTTCAACTCGTACAATTTAGAATCTGTATGTTTGAATATGGATCTTAAGTTGGCGTGACGTTGAAGCAGCGACCCGGCTGTAGTTCGTTTATAGCATAACGTTAGCATTTTGCTTCTGGCGACTAGATTTATGATTAGAAAATTATAAAAGTAGGGTAGACATGTGGATATTATCTGGCTGAACAAAACGTGATCCATCTCTTGAACGTGTCTCAACCACATACCTTATTTCCAGCTATTTTCCAATATCCTATGGAGAAATTGCATTGCGTTTTTGTCGAAGGAACCGGAAGGAGTTTACTTCCTGGTTTTAGGACGTGTCACTTTGTGGTTAAAACTGTGGTTTAATTATTAATTGATATATATTTTTGTACTAGATATTAATCATTTTTGTTAAGTTTTCCAATAGCATAATGTTGTTACATTAGAGCGTGTAACAAAAGTATGACGCTTGAAATAGGAAATTAACATTGCTTAACCATTAGCTGATAATCTATATCTATATGAGCTAAAGATGTCCAAATAATCTAGTGGAGTACAAAGTACAATATTTGTTTCTAAAATGTTGTTGAGGAGAAATAATTAGGTAACATAAAAAGTACAAATACCTCAAAATTATACTTAAGAACACACATATATTAAATACAGTACTTAGAAAAAATACCATAATGCTTTTCTCTACTGTGAAAATGTGGAAGTTACAGAGAAGAATATGTTTTGATTTCTGTGCAGCGATGATCTGAGTTACCCTGTCGAGGTTTGGGATCTTGTCTTGTGTCGCTGCCAGCAGGTAGAGGGCGGAGCGGAGCACGAAGCGAGGAGGAGCGCAGCCGCCTTGCGCCTGCACCGAGCGCAGCAGCCACACCACACTGGAGAACACCATCTGGTCCGGGAGGAGCCTGGGAAACACAAACACAAGCATGGGCAATAGTGTCACATTGGACATTTGGTTGTGTAAGAAATAAAATCAATGTTTATATGGCGTAATTTAAATTAAATACACTTTTTTCATTTAAAACTGTTTTATTCTGAAAACCGAATGTTCACACATGACTTCCGGTTTTCCGCTAGTAAATCACGTAATGTCCGGTTAGCATTAGCATGTGAACCGTGAATTGAAGGTGAAATGACATGTGGTGTTGTACACTAAACACACTGTCTTTAACACTCATTTATTGACGCTGCAATACTGTTATTAGGGAATGTTTAAATAACCACAGACATTAGAATGCTGTAATTTGACACCAGAAAAACGACAGGAATTGCCCCGTCGACGCCAGCCAATAGGAGAAGACTACAGTTGATAACCCGTGATAGACAGGGAGAATCTATCTCTCTTCCACCCAGCACCCCACGCGAACGGGTATCAGCTGAGCTGAGGGGGGGAGCCACGCCATCTCACAAATGTCATTGTATATAATTGCATAATTTGTTTAATTAAATGCTGTTAACATCTTCCGGCGCAGACTGAAAATGTCCGGTGCCTTGCTCAAGGGCACCACAGTAGGGCAGGAGGTGAACTGGGACCTCTCCAAGTAGCAGTCCACACTCCATTTTTAGATCTGGTTGGGGACTTGAACCGGCGACCCTACAGCTCACAGTCCAATCCCCTACTGACTGAGCCACTGCCACTGACAACCACTGCCACTGAATGCATTGGTTGATGTGATTGCTCGTATATCCCATCATTGAAGTAGTTTTCAATTGTGCCAGTTTGAAATGATTTATAATAGTTTATTTTATTTGCATATTGACTGGTTAATTGTGCCATTCAATTTGTGTTTTACGACCGCTGCATTCGTTCTGCCTGTATTGTCTGTGTTTTATCTGTTGCTGCCCTTCTTGGCCAGGTCGCTCTTGACTTTTACCTGGTTAAATAAAGGATATATACAAGGGCTCTCTCGACTAACAGCAAAGGAATATTGCAGAAAATAAGATGTGTGGCAAAAACATGTTTATGATGCTTACACCTTTTGTTCAGCAGGATAATCTCCACATATATCAACACCAGTTTGTGATTTATAAAATTATAAATTAAACTGGCAGAAGTTAAAAGCTATCGTTAGGCTATAAGGGAACTACAGCAAGGTCACATGACTTCACGTCACCACCGCTAAGCTAAAGGCGGCTAATGTTCGATGTGATGACGTTTAGTCCTCTTATTGATCCACCTGTAAGCAACCACTGTTTTTAAGACACATAGATGCTTCAGACATCCACCAGTGGGGTATTTACTGACATATTTTACGTCGAGAAACAAAACGTGAACACTTTTTGGGGGAATCTCACCTAAAACTCATTTAAAACCTGGTTACAAGTGCTTAAAAGCAAAGTCATTTACGGGTTCAAGACTCATTCCTCCACCACTCTATAAGGATGATATTTACTTTAAATACCAAAATAACTAATAGATGTGGTCAAATATTTACACTTCATTATATATAAACACTAGGGCTGTCCCGAATACCATTTTTCGGGCTCCGGATATTCGGTAGTAATCAGCAGCGGGCCGCTTCAACACGTGTATTTCGGTTTATTCACTGCATTCATTTTGTTATTCTACAGTATTGTTGTTTTATAGTTATTTGTTAATGTATATAACCCAATTTGTGTTCTTTGAAATTGAAAAGGATATTGCATTGTGTTTGTTACTTTCGTTGCAGTTGTATATGTCTTAAGTGTAATTTGGCTTGGCTTCCTATTTTGTATGGACATGCTTTTATTTTGAAGGAGAGTTAGCGCTGTTGACAGGAAGTTGTTGTTGCTATGGAAACAACGTGACGGCGATTAACGGAGAAAAAGTAATATCTACATTATAAAGACGGAGAAAGTAAACTATAACGTTTATGGTTAAGTGTTAGCACCCCCCGAAGAGGCACAAGCTCTTACGTTGATATTGGAGTTTTCAATTAATTCAATTTGGCAGCCGCAGTGCATATTCGGATATTCGGGTACAGCCCTAATAAACACTCATACATACACATACTTGAATTCATGTCAAACACACAGTAACAAAGGGGAAAAACACAAAGTGCTGCAGGGGCTTGCTGTTGATGACCCACACTTGTTATCTCTCTTTCTCACGCATAAATACACACAAACAGTCGGGATGTTTAGCAACACACGGACACACACACACACACAAACACACAGATCTTCTCCCCGCACACACTCAACCCTCCCACGCTATGTAAATATCTGGCCACAGCTCCCATTAATCTTAACGAGACCACACAGTGTTGGGGAGAGGCTTTCATCCCCTTTCCCCGGGGGGGCAATGCACAGCCGAGGTTCCACAGAAGGACAAATTAAGCTTTCCGTGTAAGCCCACGTTTTCTCTGAGGTCATAAAATATGTACTTAAGAACACCATCGATAGGCCGCAGAAGTGCTGATGAAGCAGCGAGAGGGTTACACACAGTACAAAGACAGCAGCTTTCTTAATAGAGCTGGGTAGCAGAGTGGTGCAGGAATGAGTCCTTAAAGCAGGGAATGAGTTAGCATTTGACCACTTACAGTTCACTCGTCTTGAAGTCAATGGTTGTTAAGATTCCTAAGGTAAGTCTGTGGTAACATAACCTTTAGAGATTTTTACGTTTTGTTTTAAGACATGAAATTCATCAGTAAATCCCCACTGGTGAGTTTCTTCTACGTGTCAAAATACAGGCGGATGTTAACAAGTGTCAAATGAGAATACTGTATGTCATCAAGCAGATCATTAGTGGCCTTTAGCTTAGCGGTGGTGACGTGAAGTCATGTGACCGTGATGTAGTTCCTTTAAAGCCTAGCGTTAGCTTTCTACCTCTGACGATTGCAATTTCGCTTCAAAATTCCTAAAATGGTGATTATATGTTGAGATTATTCTGCTGAAGAAAAATGCGCAAGTATAGTAAAAGTGTGTTTACCACAGATCTTAGTTTCTTCAATAACTCGAAATCCAGTGTACAAAATTGAGTAGTTTTTTGTCGAGAGAGCGCTTGCGATGCTAACTTCGGGGTCTGCCTATAAAAAGACTTCATCACCCCAGAGTAACTTTTGTCTTGTTTTTATACAGCCTACTTCTATATTAGCTTGTTTTAATATCTATTCTCTTGGCTTATTAATGCATTTAAACGTAATTGTATACTGTCTTTCATTTGCAATATATTTTCACTGTTTTTTGTAAAGCATTTCAAAATGTCCTTATTTTTTAAATGTACTATATAAATAAACTTGCACCTCCTTTAAGAAAGGCTGTCAATGTATCAATTAAACTTAAACTTCAATACCTGTCCTTAGTGAATATGTTTTTTAAAGGGGACCTATCATGCAAAATGCACTTTTTGATGTCTTTTATACATCAAGATGTGTCCCCGGTGTGTCGGGGATCTCACGCAGCGTCAGAAAATAAAACCCTCTCTCTTTTCCTCCGTACCCAAATCTCTAAAAACGGGGCTACAACGGAGCCGATCCAGATTTGCGTCCGATATGACGTAATATCTGAAATGTGGACCCACGGCACTATCAGAAACGTTGCTATCAGAAACAATGCCCGACTGTTTTCGACGTAATATGGTCGGTGTTTACATTAGCATCGCTAACACTCAGAGCTAACCTGTACTGGAGAGCATGTGTGTGAAGAAGCAGGAAATAAAAAGGAACTCACCTTGTGGTATAACCGGCAAGAGAGAAAGCCTTTGAGCTCCATACTGTTTCAGAAATAATCCTTGATAATCTGTGATATGGCGTTTCATCACGGCAGTATTTAGTTTAGACAGTAGCTGCCGGGTCCCGCATGAGCTCAGCCCCCTCCTTTTTAAAGCTTTATACCCCAAATCATCACTTTTGAAACAATAAGTGAAATAGAGGGATATGAGGCATGGCTAGAATGGGTGATCTGTTTGGTATTTTGAGCAGAACACTTCATAGACATGTTTTTAATATATTTGTATATATATCTGAGACCTATGCTATTGCCTAAAAATAGCATGATAGGTGACCTTTAAGACTCTCGTCCATACCACAAAAATATTTCCAGGCTTTAAAATTGAGAAATATTTGATTCCGTCAATGATTTTCCAGACATACTTAAACTATAAGTGCATTCACAGAGTAGCAGAGGCTACCGTTGTAGCAGAGAGGGCTTTGGTGACATTTTACTCTTTGTATTGATTCTCATCCCACATGAAACCTAGTCTCCTTCGAACAGAAACCACTCTGCAGCAGAACAAGTGCTTAGAATTTGTATCAGCAAAACGCTTTTTTTTTTACTGCTACTGAAATATTCATTTAATTTCCACAAGAATACCAGCTCAGAGATATTTCTCGATTTAAAACTGAGCAAAGATTTGCCTTTCTAATAAGCTAAATGTTTGCAAAACCAATTGCTTTTCTCCCTTTTCAATTATTTAAAACACTGCAACATAATCAATCAAAAAGTGAGTTCACCCTAAGTTTTTTATAAGCAGGAATTTATTCAACTATGCCTAACACACACATAAAGAGTTTTTCATAAATATGTCTCCTCCATTCGAAGCTTTTCACAGCTTTATTTAGGAGATAATGTAATTAGAAGTTTTCATGGCTCTCTTTGGAGAAAATTACTTTCTAAAGGAAAACGTGAGGCCTTTATTTCTATCTGGAAACTTTTAATTGAAAATGAGGATATGTCTGAAGCATTGAACAGCGAGGAACATTTTAATTTTTCAATTTAATTTAATTTATTTTACTTTTAGATGTATTAATGTTTTACATTTATTTTTATTTTTAATTCATTTATTTGTATTTAAATGTATTTATCTTTAATAAATATTTTTCTTATATATATATTTTTCAATTTTTTGTATTTTCATAATTTCCATCATGTATAGGTTTTTATTTTAACTGTATTCACTTTAATTGGAGTGATGTCATGTCAGCTGTTTTTGTATTTAATTATTTATGTTAGCAATATTGTCATTGTTACTTTTATGGTTGTATTGTGTGTTTTTGTTTTATGTGGACAGAAAAAGTGAGTAAAATGGTGATTAATTTTTATTTTGTGTGTATTTATGCCCTCTGCATGTGTCACCTGTCTCCATGCTGCATGGCGAGGTGCAGCAATATCACCATGCAGTACTGGGTGGCCCTTGGTCCTTTATATTCACTCAGCTGGAGCCCCGGGGTGTCACAGAGCAGAGAGGGCCAGTCTGACAGGCGGCAACACAGAGACGGGAGGTTGTGCAGCATGAGATTCTCCACCTCCTCAAAATCTAGGGGAAGAAAATGGAACAGAAAGGAAGAAGCATTAATAATAGATGCTAGAAACAGGGACAGGAGGAAGTTACAGAAAGAGACACACAAAGATAAAAAGGAAAGGATATGGATGAGGGAGTGAGATGGATGGAATAAAGTAAAACACAGCAGGAGAGGCCCTGAGGGATTATTAAAAGGGATCATTACTCACCAATGTTTACGGCTAAAAACCAAGCCAAAACTGAGGGTTCTGAAAAAATATATCTGGAGCCGAAAGTGAGTGGGTTTACGCTGATTCCTAATTATCTGTGTTGCATTAAAACAGAAAGCCAATATCCATCATTAACCAAGCTCTGGCATGGTTACATTGACATTTTAAAATCAATCTTAAAATAGCTATATTACCTTATAAAGGAATGGATGGTTTATGAATCAGGTCCCTAAAGAAGAGGAAATCAAGACGCAAAGTAGGGCCGCACGATATATCGTGTCGTGACGATAATCGCGATATGCGCATGCGCGATATTCACGTAAGATTTTTTTTAAATGTAGGACGTGCGATATTAAGTAGGCAAATGAACTCAAACACGTCATGTTACAATTATTTTGCTGCTTGCTACAAAAGGAAAACTCGCGCGGCTCTCATGTCAGGGGTACTTGAGTGAGTGACAGCAAACCACCAATCACAATCAAACCTCCAAAGCAACCGGACCGGGTGATCAAAGGTAAAAACAGTGAATAAAGTAGTTTCATGTGTTTCTCCAGGGCAGTTCGGCGCTGCTAACCGAGCTAGCTCAGCTTCTTGCTCTGATAACTTAAAATCCAGACGTCCCTGACTAAAATCCTTCATCCGGTTGAATATAGTTAGAAAAATACCAATTGTATAGCATTAAAGTTGGGGGTGTCGGACAAAAAAAACTGTCTTTTCTTCAATTCCTGTATTTTTTCATATCGCTATATATAATGCAGGGAAATCGCAATGTCAGTTTTTTCCAATATCGTGCAGCCCTAACCCAAAGAGCATGTGATGACGGGTGAAGCAGGAAAAGGAAACAGTAAGAAGGAGAGTGAAATTCATGATTTAAAGACTTGCACATGAGGCAAAAGAACCAGATAAATAAACAATACCGTATGAAGAAGAAAGATAGAAAATGCAGAGAAGTAACATTTTTTTTCCAATTATCTATGATGTCATGTTCAAGCTGAAAGCCAATGTCCATCAAGCTGTGGATATCAAACGTCCTCTAATTAAAATGTTAAAACAATCTTAGAATAGCCATATTCTGTTATATAAGAAACTTAAAATGTTTAAAAAGAAAAATCAAGATGAAAAACAGCATGCGGAATGACTGGACTACAAGGGATTGCATGACTGAAAGACTTGCAAATGAGGCATGAGAAAAAGATACTTACTAATTAAATAAACAAAGCCTATAAAGTTTTAGACCCCATTTACACGACAACGCATACGAAACGCAAACGAACCGATTACGATATCAAAAAAGTCTTCCGTTCAAACGAGACCGCTCGGGAGCGCTGGAGACGCTGTAGTACATATGCCCGGCCTGTAAGTGGCGCTGTACTTCCGCCACAAAATACACCAAAAGCAGCGAAGAAGACCCCCGAGCATGTCTGCCATGGTTGCCCTTCTGTTTATGCCCCGCTGTGTAGTTCTCCATGTCCACTTGTTGCTGATGGTTGTGGTAGAGGAGCTGTAGATTTTGCACTAACATCTATAGCATGGTCAGTAGCAGTAGCTGACAGCAGCTGACAGTAGCCGACAGTAGCTACCGACCATGCTACGGCAGTGAGCAGCAGAGGTGGGGAGAGGCGGGGCTATGGCTTCATCGTTATCAGGAAATGATCGTATAGGGCGTACACACGGAGCCGTTTGGCCCCCCAGAGCGTTCCGTCCGCAGATCTATCCACCTTGGGACCCGTTATCGTTTGCGGGGTCCGTTTCCGCGTTTCCGTTACGGCCTCGTGTGAACGAACGGGCTATACGAAAGAGAAAAGTAGCGGATACAACCGTTTGCGTTCTCGTGTAAACAGCACCTTAAGTGAGAAAAAGTAGAGATGAGACTATTTGCTCCAATTATCTATGTTGTGTTCAAGTAGAAAGCCAATATCCATCAAGCTTTGGATATCATGCGTCCTTTAATTACAATTTTAGAATCTTCTTAGGATAGCCATATTCCCATATTTAGTAAATGTAAAGGCTTTTTTAATATAAATGAGGTCCCTTAAGAATAAGAAATCCAGATGAAAACTGAAATGACGAGAAAGACACAGTAGGAAGGGGAGTGAAAGTATAAGGCACTCGATAACTGATAAGAAATAAAATGAATCATGTAAATAAAATGGTAAGAGAGGAGACGCAGTGAAAAGACAAAGGGAAGGGAAGATGTGAAGCACAGCAGGGAATTCAGATTTTCTTTTTCCAAGACAGATAAAAGAGCCGGACTTTCTGCAACCAAGCACTGACTCCATCTTTGGGTGATCTTCAGGGAACCGAATAAAGTGATATAGGGGTGAGAAAAGGGAAGAGTGGGGGAGGAAAATGAGATGCAGCTTATAAGGAAACTAAAAGAGACCAACACAGAAAGAGAGGAGAGAAAGAGTACCATTGAAACATGACACTGGATAGAGAAATTACAGATAAAAATAAGGTATTTCAACCTTTAATTTAGGAGTTAAAGAGGAAACTGTATGCAGTATTTGAAGGGGTCACAAGAAAAGTAAAAGCATAGATAAAAATATGGGTCAGTGATGCACGACTACCCGCGGGCAATGAGACTGTTAAAAAATTGAACTGTTGAAACAACTTCAAACATTCATCTGCTACTCAGTAGTATGTATCTAATACCTAATATATATATATATCATTCCAATAACTTGTATATAGACTCGTACTGCACTATTCCACATCATAACTTTATTTTATTTTATAACTATTATTATTTTTGTATTGCTCTTGCTCTTATTGTTATTATGTTATTATGTTGCATTGTTGGAGAAGCCTGTGACATAAGATTTTCAACTACATAATTACTCTGTAGCTATGTCAGATTGACAATAAAGAACCTTGAACCTTGAAGAGGGTCTCTGAGAGGGAGACACTACCAGAGAGGAAAACCAAGGTGAAGATGGGAATAGGAGCTGAAGAAATACAGATAAAGGAGGACAGATTAAATATAAACAGGGACCAAAAGAGGAGAGGCCAGGGCTGCAGAACCAGACAGAACTCCGTGGGGAAAAGGGAAGGAGAAAGACACAGAAATAAATGGTGTTGTTTTAGAAAGAAAAGGGGAAAATGAGGAGAAGGAGACAAATGGAGCGGTCACCTCCAGGGAACTGGTGGGCAGAGAAGAGAGGCAGAGGATGGACGGATGAGGAAGATGAGAACAACAGATGGGAGGAAGGCTACACACAGATCTACAAAGCAGGCTGCAGTGACATGTCGCCTCATGCTCAGGTTTTGATCACACCAATAAAGCTATTTGAATTTGAATAAAAAGGCCAGAGAAGAGGAGAGAAGATAGGAGCAACATTGTCAGCTATTGCACATCTTTGCCAATAGACCCAAGTTGTGGCCATCTGGAGCAAGTCTGTGTTAAGTATCTTGACTAGGGGTGCAACAACTAATCGACTTAATCGATTAAAATCGATGACCAGATTAGTTGCCAACTAATTCAGTCGTCGATTCGTTGGTGACGTCATCACGTGTGTTTTACGCGCCGTTAAGCTCCGACGTTATCGGTCTTTTTATCGGTACTGGAGACATTTAAAACATATATGTCATATGTATTATTGCTACATAAACATTATATCGCAGTCTTAGTGTCGCCAACTCCGTTTCTAATATGCAAAAAGACAAAAGAATGCGTCTATGATGTATTTTCGATCTTTCCAATCCAGACGAGAGATCTCTCTCACCCGTCTGTGTGTGAGGGGGCGGGGCAGTTTACACACACGCGGCTGCTACATGCATGCAACACACACACACACGGCTGCTACATGCATGCAACACACGGCGGGGATGGCGAGGAGAACTAAGCGCTCCAAGGTGTGGTTAAATGTCTCGATGTGGACAATGCTCGATGCCAATAGTGCAATAAGAGTTTAGCATGCAAGGGCGGTAACACGAGCAATTTGTCTAAACATTTAGCAAAAGTGCACCACATTCAGACGGAGAAATGCACCGGGTTCGACTGTGTTTTCTAGTAGCTCTGTAGCCCCATCCACGAGTAACTTGTCCACATCAGCAACACACAGAGTTAACAAAATTATACAAACACGGGTTAATGATTAGAGGTAACGGAGTTATTTATTTTGTTAAAGTTTCAGCTATTCTGTTTACAGTTCTGTCATCACATTATTTAATACGATTTGTTTCTTTTGATGTGAAATATTATTTATTTAATTTAAATAAAAAGCAATGTTAATTTTGTTCGCAATTTAATAATATATGTATTTTTGAATCAAGTATTCATCTTTATTGTCTTCATTGTTAGTTTCCACATGCCTAAAACAACCTCAAGCTAAATCTAAAAGTTGATGGCTAAATAAGAGCGTTTGAGAAATTGTGCAAGGTTCGAATAGTCGATTAATCGTTTCATTAATTGATAGATGAATCGATTATCAAATGAGTCGTTTGTTGCAGCCCTAATCTTGACAAAGAACACATCGACATGTCGACTGCAGGAGCCTGCGATCGAACCACCGATCTTCCCATTGGTAAAAGATCATCAGCTATTCCCGAAAGTGGTAAAAACTAATTTCTGGGATTTAGCACTCATTCCTGCAGCTTTTTATTTTATAAATGCGACACTAAAATACCTTCACTGAAGAAAACACAGAAGGATGCAATAAACAAACTACATCACGGACACATGACTTCACATCATCACCGCTAAGCTAAAGGCGGCTAATGTTCAGAGTGATGATGTTTAGCAGCCTCATTTAGACACTTGTTAGCAACCTCCGTTTTTATGACAGACATTCACCAGTGGGGGATTTAACATGAACATCTTTCAGCTTGTGTTCATTTCACTTCATTTCAAACCTTTATTTAACCAGATTGGTCCCATTGAGACAGTGTTGTAGTCAAGTCACCAATTCACGAGTCCAAGTCACTCTCGAGTCACCACTCTTCGAGTCCGAGTCCAAGTCCGAGTCACCAAGGGAGAGTCGTAGTCGAGTCCGAGTCCAAGTCCGAGTCACCCAAGGAATGTCCGAGTCGAGTCCGAGTCCGAGTCATCATTACCTGTGTTCGAGTCCGAGTCCAAGTCCGAGTCACCCAAGGAGTGTCCGAGTCCAGTCCGAGTCCGAGTCATCATTACCTGTGTTCGTGTCCGAGTCCAAGTCGGAGCGTCAATGTACAAGTCGAGTCCGAGTCATCATGGGGGGAAAAATTCACGAGTCCGAGCCCGAGTCCAAGTCAGCGTACGCGATAATTCACGAGTCCGAGCCCGAGTCCAAGTCATTGTGCGCGAGAATTCACGAGTCCAAGTCCGAGTCGCGTCAATCAGTGCGCGAGTCCGAGTTGAGTCACGAGTCCCGAAAATCGGCACTCGAGTCCGAGTCCAGGACTCGAGTACTCCATCTCTGCATTGAGATCATAGATCTCTTTTTCAAGGGAGACCTGCAGCATATAGGTTCCACATGAAACATAAAACAATAAAGGACATCATACATTATATTTACAGGATACATTTACATAGTTATAGACATTTACAAGTACCCATAGTATCAACGAGCATTTCATTTAGCCTAGCTTTAAAAACATGCAGAGGAATGAGATTGCTCAGTTTCAATTCTTGCTGAAGATTGTTCCAAGCAAGTGGAGCTGCGCACATAAAAGCTGTCTTACCTAAGACAGTCCTTGCTCTTGGCACATCTCACAATACTACATCATGCGATCTCAGACAATAGCTGCTTGCAACTCTGTGTTATCAGAGAGCAGATATAATACGGGAGTTTACCCAACAAAGCTTTATAAATAAACGTGTACCAATGACTGAGCCTCCGTACAGTAAGTGATGGCAAACCTGCCTTGGCATACAGGTACAGTGATGTGTAAGTGCAACTGTTAACTGTGTTAACGACAGACCTCATTTCAGTTAACCAGAAGTGTCAAAAATGCTGAGTCATTCCTGCAGAGAGTATACAGAACAGGATGGCAAAGAGAGGAAAGAAAAAGAAACATTCCCAATTCTGTATAACAACGTCTGAAATAACAGAAATATCTTGCATTAAATGGAAGAGTCAAATGTAAAAATTCATGGCCGAGAAGAAAACAACAGGCTGAAAAAGAAAGTAACAGATAAGGGGTGAGGAACGTGAGGCAGGCAGCGAGGAAGAGGAACACCAGTGTGGCGCTGCAGAAGCCATTATTCAAAGACACACACCTACACACTCGCTCTTACATCTCATTACCTTTAAGAAATATTTTAGTCAACTCGGGTCTCAAAGTCACATCCTGTCTCCAGGGAACAACTGCAGTTTACCATCAAATGTTTCGGGGGAAGTTAAAGCGGCTTGAAGGAAGAAAGGACCGGATTTTGGCATTTGTTTTTACTCACTTAAATAACATTTAATCAGCTGACACATTCTGAGCACAGTAACTTTAAAGTGAGCTGTAAACGTGTTTAAATACACAATAATACAAATCTACAGAACAAAATATCGCACGTCAATAACATCTTGAATGACAAACTATTAAGTCAAAGCTTTTTCAGAGTTATTTATAGGTTTGGACGTTTAGATTAAGGTAAAACCATCTGGAGTCCTTATCAGGCCTGTGTGTGTGTGTGTGTGTGTGTGTGTGTGGTGTGTGTGTGTGTATGTGTGTGTGTGTGTGTGTGTGTGTGTGTGTGTGTGTGTGTGTGTGTGTCTCTGTGTGTGTGTGTGTGTGTGTGTGTGTGTATGTGTGTGTCTCTCTGTGTGTGTGTGTGTGTATGTGTGTGTGTGTGTGGTGTGTGTGTGTGTGTGTGTGTGTGTGTGTGTGTGTGTGTATGTGTGTGTGTATGTGTGTGTGTGCGCGCATACCACTCTGGCAGGAGCTCGCAGCAGGGTCTGACTGGAAAAGTAGACACATGCTGAGTTTCTGTAGAAAACCACAGCATGATGCGTTCAGACGTTGGTGCCTGAAAAGATAATGAAGAATCAGAAATAGAAATCTGGTTTATTGCCAGGTAGGTTTTCACTTTGGTGCGTACAAAAACAGAAAAATGACTACGTTGTTAAAAACAAAAAAGGAGCTAGTCAACAAGTGTTTTTAGTTTAGCATTGTGCCAAAATTGTGAGAGATATACAGAGCAGTGTGCAATGTTTACAGTCTGGAGTATGAGGTAACGCTGTGTAAATGTAACACATAGTGCAAGAGGGAGAAATGCACTGAAAAGTCCGACTGGAATACATTAAAAAAAGAAAGTGAGAAAAGGGGCACACAGAGCACACATTTCCCACAATGCACGGTCCGAACAGTGAAGAGTGCACTGTGAGACACAGGACAGGATGTGCCTTGACTTGGTCTTTTCAAATATGAAACCAAGACCCTGCATGGTTCAGTTTCATTGCAGCTCAGAGCAGCGGGGACCTATCGCCTTCATGACCACACACGACACACACACACACACACACACACACACACACACACACACACACACACACACACACACACACACACACACACACACACACACACACACACACACACACACACACACACACACACACACACACACTTTTGGCTTTGAAGCTGCAGATCCGTTGCTCTGAGACTGACATGCTGCTGAGCAAAAGCTCTGAAATAAAAAGACGCCTGAGTCGAATATCTGTTGAATTTGCTCCGACAGGGAGTGTTGGTAAAATACTTTCTGAGTCACGACGGTTTAACACATAGACACACACTGTAGCACCTTGCAGACAGCAGTGCTTTGTTCATTGTGTGTGTCGGGTTATCTTGTTCCACTGTACCTGTTCCCCGCACAGAGCAAGCCTTTGTGCTCCAGAGGCAGCCTGAAGAAACCAGACGAGGCTGCAGAAGAGCAGAGGATGAGGAAGGAGATAAAGATGGAAAAATACTATTCATAAAACACTTCTGAAAACAAAAGTTCTCCCAGCAGAGGAACACCATTGTGCCATAACTTGACGAAAAAGAAAAAAAATTCAGTCACACTCAATGACACCCAAGCCTCACTACTTTAATATAGAATAAAGCGGTGCAGAAATGAGTCCTAAAACCAGGGAATGAGTTAGCATTACAGCACTTCGGGTTCACTCGTCTCGAACTCAATCAACTTTTGAATGTGTTTTTGATAGATGCTTGAAATAAGTTTGGACATAAAATACGCCAGGAAATACCCCACTGGTGAATGTCTAAAGCTTCAATGCGACTAAATATGGTGGCGGAGGAATGAGTCTTAAAGACCTGGACATGAGTTATGTCACGATTTGAGTTTTGTCTTGTCATGGTTTTATTTTGAAATTCTATGTCTGGTCTTCCTTCCTGTGTCTGATTGTGTTCACCTGTTGCCCTTGTGTTTTCTGCCTCCGCTGCCCAGCTGTGTCTTGTCCTCTGATTACCCTTCTGTGTATTTAGTCTTCCCCTGTGCTCCATGTCGGTTCGTTGTATTTTCTCACTCTCCATGTTTGTCACTTACCTCATGCTACCTGTTTATGATTCACAGTTTTTGTCTTGTTTTTTCATGCCAACAGCTTTGTTTGAATAAAGCTCGCTTTTGTTTGGAAACCCGCTTCCCTTTTAAACTGCATTTGGGTCCTACCTTTTCCCGAATCCTGACAAGTTAGCATTTAAGCACTGCTGGTTTTAGTAAGTTCTGGTTGACACAAGCTTGAGAGATTTGTCCTACGACATAAACTACTATTAATACTTTATAGCGTAACATTTTACTTCCACTGATTTCATTTATGCTTCATAATCATGAAAGTGGTGTAAATACGTGGAGATTATTCTATATATCATAACTTAGATATTATTTTCGGCAATATTCCAAAATCCAATGGATAAATCCCATTGGCTTTTTGGCGAGGGAACCCGTGCGATGTTATCTTCCGCGTTGGCCTACAGAAGAACGACATCACTGTGCCACTCTATTAGTCCTCAAGCTACACCCCCAATGCACTCTATATTCTAAAAATACCCTTCATCACTTGGCCACAGCAGAGGTAATAGGACAGCAATCCTGTTCTAATTCTATGAGGAGAAGAAGCTATATCGTTAAGATGTACTTAATGCCTTGGCAGTATCAGTGGAGCATGGAAAGAGAGAGATAGCAGCCCTCACTTATTAGAGGGAAGTTTTCATTTCATAAAGCTACCTCTCTGTGGACCTGAGCCAACGTACAGCTCAGTCGTATCAGCAGAAAGTTTCCGTTCTGCTCTGTTGACCGCTCGCAGCGTTAATATAAAGTTCCCTCCTTAACGCCACCACTGTGGATTGTCTCGATGCCCGGGGCGACGTGTTTCCTGTCAATAATTGAGGATCATCATGTGGACTGTCAGCTTTGGACAGATAGCTGAGTTTTTACACCCTGCAGGGATATTAAATTCCATCAACACTAATTTGAGTGAACAGAATCAACACGTTAGCATTATATTTGCTTGAATCTGCTTAAAATGTTTTTTTTTTACTATTTTTAAGTATCCACAGAAACAGGAAAGGTTTAACTGTATCAGAGGAGAATACAATCTATGTGGTAATGAAATCCAATTAGGGTTTTTGCTCTTTATATGATTAGCTGTGAACTTTAATAGTATAATTGCTCCGGTTTAGACATGCAAGGCTTTGACAAACTGTATTATAAGTAAGGTACTTAATTGGCAAATCTGTATTAACCCTTGTGTTGTGTTCAAAAGCTGTTACTGTTCATGGTGTTCGTGGGTCAATTTTGACCCATGATGTATCTCAGTCCAAAACACAAAAAAAATGACTATCATCCAATATTGTTTTAACTACATCATAACTAACTTATAATGCATTCATAACCGTACAATCCTGTTGTAATTTAATGTTATGGCCCAAAACACATTACACCACATATTGCACACGTGCATATGTGTGTTCAGGTTCAAGTGTTAGTGTACATATTCTTTGAGAAAGGTCGAGTTCCCGTGGGGGGAGGGGGGCAGAGGGAGGGGAGACCAGGTGCATGTTGCGAAAAATTATTGTTACAGTGGATGAAGGGGGTGGGGCTGGGGTCATGGATGTATAATAAGAACTGGATACAGTGTGGGAGGCGGGGTCTCGTTCTTTCCTATAGAGAGGCGAAGTCCCGCCCATCTACTTCCGACCCATGGGACCTTATTTAGGAAAAAGTATGTATTGAAGTCAATGGAGAGAGAAAGATTATCTTTCGATCCCGTTTGAATTGTGCCACGAATTACACATATGATGTTTGTCAATCTTAACAAATAATTTCCATGTCAAAAAAGTCGTAAAACTGTTGAAATATAAGACTATGAAAAATACGCAACTAGAAAGACTACAAATCCCAGAATCCCGGTCCCGCATGCTGGCTCTTACGAACCGACTAACTCCCCTTGTATGTACGTACAACTCTCAACATGCCCAGACTTGGAGTGATTTTCACCTCTTTTAATACTTTTCGCCTCATTCTGAAAGAAAGAAGTGAAATGTGCCAACGTGACGGCCGTCTTGGTGTGTGGTGCGAGACGGGAGATGTAGTCCATTGAGCGGTTTCACACAAAAAAAAGTGTTACTTCACAGTTTTACGACAACAATTTTTTTTTTTGACTTGCAAAATTATCTTTTAAATTGACAAACATCATATGTGTAATTCGTGGCACAATTCAAACGGAATCTAAAGATAATCTTTCTCTCCCCATTGACTTCAATACATACTTTTTCCGAAATAAGGTCCCATGGGTAGATGGGCGGAACTTCGCCTCAAAACAATGCTGCTGGGTCTTCCCAGACCCGAACACCAAATTATACACTTTTTTTTTTAGAGACCTTCAGACTTGGCTAAAATTGTCAAAATCTGTTTTGTAGTGTTTATATAGCTGTGGTGGATATCATGAAGCCTCGTTCCGATAAAAAAAACTAGAGCGTAGTTATTATATAATTTTAACTTGAAACGGGTCACGGGAGACCCGAACACAACATGGGGAACAAAACAGCAGGCTTTTTTAGAAGTACAGTTTGTTTGATTATCGTGATGTTTTTCTTTCCAAACATTGTGGGCTCGACACTCACAGGCCTTTAGTTTTCCAAAACCAGCAGTATGTTCAGTAACAAGTCAAAACATCTGAGGCTAATTTAAAAAACACCAGCTGACTCAAACCTCAGTGCAGTTTATTAGAACTTTATCTTTATATTTTCATCACCCCTGACAACCATCAGGGCAGATTTGGAAATATTTTATACCTAAACTGTTCAATAAGAACTCAAATACTGTGCCATAATGCAACCGTGAAATACTTATTATTAGTACTGTGTGACATTGTGCATGTACAATTATCTAGTTTTCATCATTATTATCTTTAATTATGCTTATACACCACTTCATAATATTCACATTTTTACATATTGTTAAAATTGAACTACAATATTTTGTAATACAATTGCATTTTTTTCTCTTAAAATAATATAAATATTTGTATTCCTTTTAATTTTATCTTTTTATGCTCATTATTAGTTTAAATAGTTAAAGGTGGGGTAGGTAATTCACTTCAGAAACACTATTTGTTATATTCCATGGAATGCTCTTAACATCCCGATAGCAATGAATACATGAAATGCTTTGACAATAAATACATTAAAAAATGTCATCTGTGGAAGCCGTGGCGCTGTAAAAAGCACGACCAATCATCTGAGCCGGCCCGGCTAAAATAACTGGATGGCCTACCTGCCTGTCAGCCTTCCATCTGTGCACAAACTTATCTCGTGCCCTCATTGGTCATGTGCGCGTTCGTGTGTGTTGGAGGAGGGGCTCTGTAAGGAAGTCTGAAGGAAGGGGCAGATTTTTTTCGGCTGCTTACTTTCAAATTCTAGCACACTCGAGCTGGTTTCTCCATTATTACCTACCCTACCTTTAAGTTCTTACATTTATGTGAATATGATATTCTTTATGTGAATATGTTATTCTATACGCCCTTTGTAAAAAAGTATTCAAATTAATTAAATTCGTTTTTATTGAAGCACACATGTCTTTTATCTATTTAAAGATACTTTACAAATGCAGATAAGCTGAGTCATGCTAAGGATGCTAAGGTGGAGAAGATAAATGTAAGAAGGGATGCCAGTGAAGTGTCAGAGGCAGACTGTGAAAAACCCACCACGTCGAATGTGAGCCGGCAGCAGCCTTGGCAGTGAATCTGATGAAATATTAGCAGAGAGTGAGACAGAGAAAGGGTCTGTTGGCCTCGCAGAGCAAATCATCCCAAGGTCGGACAGTTCACAACAGTACTGGAGAGAGAAAGCTTCACAATTACCCCAAACTGTCTGCCTCTGCATCCAAGAGACTCTCTAGTGCCGTCTCAGGGATTAATGAGAAGAGGATCCGGCGTCTGCTAAGATGCTTATTTTCCTCAACAAAACCTTCGCTCAGTTTGACTTAAAGTAGGAAAACTAAAGGAAAAACTCCTGTAGGTGCTTCAATAAAAGCTAGGGATGCTCCGATCGATCGGGTCCGCCCCAAAATGTGCTTCAGCCAGTCTGGCAGTCCTTTTGATCGTGTGCTGCGAAAGATAGACATTAAATAGGCTGCTATGCACGTGTGTGAGCTCCACCGCTGTGTCTGTGACGGAACCGCGTGAGCAGAGCAAAACACACACTAAGAGGTAGACCTTACACACTTAGCTTTTTTATTACCTTCTGAACAAGATAAACTAGTTATACATATATTTATTCTCACTGTCGGGTCACTCCTTACTGGATCAGTGAGCTGCATATATTAACTGGACAGGCTGTCGGAGAGAGAGAGAGAGGGGGAGAGCGAGAGAGAGAGAGAGATAGATAGAGAGAGAGAGAGGGTGATGAGAGAGCGGGGGGGGAGAGAACATGCTTCCGCGACTGTAGCATCCCTAGTAAAAGCACTTTAAAAACAGGCCTTCATAAGGACAAAAGAGAGCACTCTTATTATTTGGTTGTTCCGGTTTTACTGCAACACCTATTTTTATGCTACACCAAGTTTGAGTGCTCCTAAATTCTGTTTAGTGCTGCACTTCGCCAGTTGAGACTTTTATTTGTTGTGACTGTGAATGTTTAAGTTAATTATTACACCGCTTCAAGGTGGGATTGTTCTTGTATTACTCATTTAAATTGCTCTAGTTTAATTGCAATGCTGCACCGAGAAGGGCAATGTATAAAGACATCTTTTATTTTGTTCACTCGGTTATTTGTTTTTAGAATATTTCATTTTGAGTGTGAGTAATTTGCCAAAACTGACTACAGTATAAACAAAGAAAAAGATTAATATGACCTTTATATATCGTGGTAATATCGTTACTTTGAATAGTTTTGGCCCTGATAATTATGTTGTACAGTTGAATTGCCCTACTCACCTAGCTTATTCACAAAGACAGGCATGAGAGACGGAACCAGGGTGAACTGGGAGGACAGGATGGAGTAGAAGTGCTGCAGAATCTGAGCGTGGGGTGCCTCCTGACACATTCTCTACACACACACAAAAGAAATCAAAGGCAATTAAGGCGAGACACGGCAGGCAAAAACATCGTTTATCATGCACTGGTCAATTTTGAGATTTTGTGCTATTGTGATTCCATAACATGTTTTCTTTCAGGCTTTTGGAAGGAAAACATACAAAATACACAGTTAGGTGTTTATTTGACTATAGTTTGTCTATTTGCATCTGTAGATTTCTCCTAAATTCACCAAAAGTTAGCATTCTAACGTAACATAAAGTACCGCGACCGCTGTTTGCACCATGTCATCAGAGGTATCGTTGGAAAGCTCCGTGTCTCCTGCACAATCTCATCGGATCCAAATATGGTCATTTCCTTTGTATCAGCAACCAATCGTGAAAGTACAAAGGGGTCTTAAACCAAGAAACTAAATCTCATTGGCTGGTGTCAATTTCTGACCTTGGATTTGTTCACGTGGTGTGCTAAAACACTTCCTAGTTTAGCTTTCCGCTGGAAATTTAAATCTCAAAATGACAAAAGAACAGCGAAAAAAAATGTTCACAGAGAAGAGGACAACAATTGTCACTTGCACGAAGCAATGTTAGACAAAAAACGTATGATCCCGAACATGAAATATCTTCACGGAGTGCGTCGATGCGCAAGCTGTCATCCAGAGAACAGCAGGGTTTAGGTAGCGACTCACAGCAATCTTTAAAGGTCGTTTTCTCAAAATGAGTTTTTTCTCCTATTCTGACATTTCCACTTCAGTTGCACTTACATACACCAAACCTTCCAGTTTTATTCCTATCAATATTCTGAAGGTTTTTACAGAAGGGTTTGTTCATATATCATTCATAGTCTAAAAACACAGCGAAAATTGATATTTTAGAGCTGATAAAAAGAGATATCCAAAATCCCTTCTATAACAAATTTAGATTATAATATGACTACAAAATGAAACAAGAATTTTGAACCTGGCTTTATCCAATGTTCAGGTTTGTGTTCCTGAAATGTGTTAAAATATGCGCATATTTAATGAGATTATTTCTATTTGCATATTTAAACATGCTATTTCAGAAAACTTGTAATACAAAAAACTATTTTCTTAATGTAAGTAATTAACTGGAGACATTTTTAGCTGATATCTTTAAGTAAAAAAAACTTTGAACACTTTCTTCATGTCTGGTTTAATGTTAGCTTGTATAGAGAAGTACAGGACGGTGTCTTTTTGGAGGACGACTCAGAGGTTAGCATCGCAAGTGTTCCCTCGACAGAAAGCCAATTGGATTTTAAAATATTTCAGAAAATTAGCTCTGTGGCAAAAATCATGTTTATGATACTAACACTTTTTGATCAGCAGGATAATCGTCACATATTAACAGCTTTTTATAATAGTGGAAGCGAAAATGCAATCTCATGAAGTTAAAAGCCAATGATAATAAATCAAATAAAGGAACTACAGCACGCTCACATGACTTCACGTCGATATGCTAAGCTAAAGGCGGCTAATGTTCGCAGTAGTTAGCAACCGATGTTTCAAGGACACAAAAAAGCTTCAGACATTCACCAGTGAAGTATTTACTGACATATTTTATGTCGTAGAGACGTAGAACATACATACAAATATTGTGTTGACACCTTATTTTGGGAATCTAACCAAAAACACGTCCAAAAACTTAAGAGACAAGTGTTGAAATGCATTCATTTCCGGGGTTAAGGACTCATTCCTGCACCACTCTATAGAACCAACCTTGAAAATACACTAGAAAATAAAACAATAACTAGCACTACAGCAGAGGTGGTGATCGATAGACTAGTGTGTGTGTGTGTGTGTGTGTGTGTGTGTGTGTGTGTGTGTGTGTGTGTGTGTGTGTGTGTGTGTGTGTGTGTGTGTGTGTGTGTTCTCACAATGACAGTGGGTATCCAGACGGAGTCGCAGCAGCACAGCAGACATTTGCACAGAGACTCCAGTGAGTCCTGGGATTGGCTCTGTTTAGAGGGAGCTGTGAATGTGTTTTCCTTCAGGACGGGCTCTGATGCACACTCCTCAGCCAGCCTTAGAAAACACAAATAAACACAAACATAACCACTAACCTACACACAGAAATAACATAGAAAACACACAAGAAAAACCTGCAGATTTAACTCAATGACTTCATCTACATTTCAACTGAAACCTCCATGGCTCCTCTAAAATGCAATAATATTCTAATTGGGCATTTGAAAAAGAGAACACTTGATCCAATACACTACTTTCAAAAACTGTACTTGAGAAAAGCAAATCATAAAGGCAAAAGGTAATACTTGTTAAGATTAGATTTAATTTCAAGGTCACCTATCATGCTATTTTTAGGCAATAGCATAGGTCTCAGATATATAAAAATATATAAAAAACATGTCTATGAAGTGTTTTGCTCAAAATACCAAACAGATCAGCCATTCTAGCCATGCCTCATATCCCTCCATTTCACTTCCTGTTTCTAAAGTGCTGATTTGGGGTATAAAGCTTTTTTTTTTTTTAAAGAAATTGATTAAAAAAGAAAAAGGAGAGGGCTGAGCTCATGCGGGACCCGGCAGCTACTGTCTAAACTAAATACTGCCGTGATGAAACGCCATATCATGGATTATCAAGGATTATTTCTGAAACAGTATGGAGCTCAAAGGCTTTCTCTCTTGCCGGTTATAACACAAGGTGAGTTCCTTTTTATTTCCTGCTTCTTCACACACATGCTCTCCAGTACAGGTTAGCTCTGAGTGTTAGCGATGCTAATGTAAACACCGACCATATTACGTCCAAAACAGTCGGGCATTGTTTCTGATAGCAACGTTTCTGATAGGGCCGTGGGTCCACATTTCAGATATTACGTCATATCGGACGCAAATCTGGATCAGCTCCGTTGTAGCCCCGTTTTTAGAGATTTGGGTACGGAGGGAAAGAGAGAGGGTTTTATTTTCTGACGCTGCGTGAGTTCCCTGACACACCGGGGACACATGTTGATGTATAAAAGACATCAAAAAGTGCATTTTGCATGATAGGTCCACTTTAAAATTGATCATAAAACAATGGAAAACAAATTACACTTGTGACTTTATTCCCTTTAACTATCAAAGTGATCCCATTAAGCTCCCTGAGTGTGTGACTGGACGATGTGCTGACCTGCAGGCAGCCTGAAAACAGATCAGCGCCTGGAACAGAAATCCCTCGGCTCTTGAGGCCTGGCTGTCTTTGCCTGACCTCGTCAGATTCCTCTGGGAGAAAACAGAGAAAGATGAGGAGAAATTAAATAAACATCATCTTATAAAAGCACTTAATCAATATCTTAAAATGTATTTAAAACATTTAAACAACTGCTGAGAAAACCCTGAAACCCTTCTTTGTTTTCTTCAGTGAAATATTTACTCTAGGTCCCATTAAGAGCTGCAGAAATGAGTCCTAAAACTTGGAAATGAGTTAGCATTTTAGCACTTCCAATTCCATCGCCAGTCAATTGTTTGTTAAAGGTGTTTTTGGTCAGAGGCCTGGAAAAAAGAATGCGATTAACACACAATACTCCCATTTAGTTCTATAGATGAGAGTAACACCTACGTCACTTCCGGGCAAAATTACGGCCCCGCCCACTTTTGGGAGAAAACAACGCTGTCATTTGAATGGCGGTCAATACAAATTCTGAAGTTTTTGCCAATCCGATCGGAAATTTAAGAAAACCGTGGATTTTTGGATCTTCAAAGAGCCCGATTACGATGGCCAGACAGGCAAACAATTACATGAAATCATTGGAAATCGACGATCGGTCTCGATATATGGTTAAATAAAAATCAGTAGGAGAGGCCGTCATTTCGCCAGCTGTTACTCATGAGCGAGGCGGACAATAATTGTTTTATCATGCCAACAAGCTGCTGTGTCGTTTATTGCACCTCAAACATTAAAACAAATCCAGAGTTACGTTTTTCTGTACTTCCTCTGTGGCTTCAGGCTTGATCGCCATTCAAATGACAGCGTTGTTTCCCCCAAAAGTGGGCGGGGCCGTAAAGTGACATAGATGTTACTCTCATCTATGGACATCGATCACCAACTGCTATATTTAACCATATATCGAGCCCGCTCGTCGATTTCCAATGATTTAATGTAATTGTTTGCCTGTCTGGCCATCGTAATCGGGCTCTTTGAAGATCAGAAAATCCACGGTTTTCTTAAATTTCTGATCGGATTGGCAAAAACTTCAGAATTGGAATTGACCGCCATTCAAATGACAGCTTTGTTTTCCCCCAAAAGTGGGCGGGGCCGTCATTTTCGCCCGGAAGTGACGCATGTGTTACTCTCATCTATGACACAAGCTGCCTTTAGCTTAGCGGTGGCGACTTGTAGTCATTTGACCTTGATGTAGTTCCTTTATAGCATAATGTTAACTTTTTACTTCCGAATGTTGCATTTGCGCTTAAAAAATCATAAAAGTGGAGTTAATATATAAAAAGGATCCTGCTGAACAATTCATAAATATCATAAATGTGTGCTTGCCACAGAGTTTATTTTCTGCAATAATCCAAAATACAATGAAAAAATCTGTCACTCTATTGACACCTGGTATAAAGACATATACTTTTCTTCTATTTCTATAGTGACATGATGGCATGCCACCCAGACACATCTTTCTGTCCCTGTTACACGTGTGATGCTCAAGTCTATAAAAAAAAAAAACGCCAGCATTGAAGGACAGCTAGAGGGGAAAAAAACGACATTTGTTCCATCATGGAAGAATGAAATCCCCCTTGATCCCACCTGTCAATCAAATAGGTAGCGTGTGACACTTTTATAGATAGAATCAAAGTCAGATATGTCAGTGTCTTTTTTTAACGCTCTCTGGAGAATCAACGAAAGATAAAGTCTCAGATACACAGCAGAGATCGTTCTCTTCTTTAGAGTTGTTAATCTTTGTGGATCAAACAAACTCACAGAGATTCCACGATGAGGATGAGAGGGTAGTGGCAGCTCGGGGAATCTGTTAGTGATGGCTTCAATCAATCCTTCTATCTTCCCATAAAGCACCGGTCTGGACTGGTGGTTCAGTCTGGATGATTCAGAGTGGCAGCACTTTAAGGCAAGGCAAGTTTATAATATAGCACTTTTCAGCACGCGACAATTCAAAGTGCTTTACAAAACAAATTAAAATACTTTTTAGGAATAAATACAGTAAAAACAGGCATTAAAAAAGCAAAGATAATAAAATAAACACAACAGGTATACAATACATGTTTAAATGGCATACTGTAGTGCGAATATAAGCAGCTCAATTAAAAGCAGCGGCAAAGAGATATGTCTCGATTTAAAAATAGTCTGAGTTTCTGCGGACGTGCATGATTTGGGTAGTTTGTTCCAGATTGTCGGGGCATAATAGCTAAACGCTGCCTCTCCATGTTTTGTTTTTACTCTCGGAACCGATAGCAAACCCGTCCCAGAAGTCCTGAGGCACCTTGATGGTTTGTAATTATGTAGGAGATCAACAATATACTTTGGTCCTAAACCATGTAATGATTTAAAAACTAGCAATAGTACTATAACAAAGGAAACACCTCACATTCAATTACACAGCGCTATATGACTGTTTTAAGTAGGTGGAGAAGATGTTGAAAGCTGGAAAGAGGATGGAGCAGAGAGTAGCATAATGTGCATAGCTGAGTGTGTGTGTGTGTGTGTGTGTGTGTGTTTGTGACTAATGGTATGGATTTGCCAGTGGCTTTTTCAAGCGTCCTTGCCGACATCAATAGTTCTGTGTGTAAGGCAAAGTGTCTCTGAGTTTGTGTTTACTATTTTACCTTTGACATGGTGTTCACGCTATATGTGTGTGTACTGTCTTGTGTGTGTTCATGGTTGACTCAGTAATTGACTGTGTGAGAAACTGGCTGGTTTATAGTCCAACTTTGATTGTTTCCATATCTCATTATTACAGAAATGCCTCCAAGGACTTTCTGAGAACAATCATAGCTTTTATATTCATGGCTTTGACCCTTATTCTTACCTATAGTCTTATTTCTGTGGCAAATATCCTTGTTATTTTAGTATTTTATTTTAAACTTTATTTACAGGGTATAGTTACAGGCTGATAAACAATTGCTATTTTTGAAAATAATATTTTATCTATTTTATCCTGTTTTTCCTCAAGTTTTAATTGAAAAGTCTAGTCATCTCAATCTTATATTAGTAAAATAAACACTGCACAATACAAAGTGTCCTTGACAATATGTATTTACATGCACGTATATGTAAAGCAGTATGTTTTTGTGTGTACCTGAACAGGGCAGATGCGGCGCTGGCAGCCTGTGTGGCCACCTTCAGACAGGAGGAGGAGACTCCACCTGACACTGCCTCAGAAACCGCCGCAAAGCCTGAAGCACCGGGGAACAGACGCTCACTAGGGGGCTGCCTACACACACACACACACACACACATACACACACTGCTTCAACGTCACGCCAACTTAAGATCCATATTCAAAAATACAGATTCTAAATGGTACAAGTTGAAGCGTTTGTTTGAACAGTTTGCAGGAGGCAGGTACTTGCTTTCAAGCAGAACAGGGGGAAACACAAACTTAGCGGGAGTGTTTACGTGTTCGGTGTAATGACGTACAACGGCCTCGACAACTTCTGTAGTCCTATTCAGCCACTTGGTAACAACCATCGTTTTTCAGACACGTAAACTCTTCAGAAATCACCAGCGGGGTCACTGCTGATGGATTTAATGTCGTAGAACAAAACGTGATCCATCTCTTAAATGTGTCTCAACCACAGACCTTATTTCAGCTATTTTCCAAAATCCTATGGAGAAATTGCATTGGTTTTTGTCGAAGGAACCGGAAGTGGTAAAATGCTAACTTACTTCCGGGTTTTAGGACGCGTCACTGTGGTACTATAGTGGTGCAGCAATGAGTCCTAAGAACTGGGAATGAGTTGGCATTTTAGCACTTCCAATTTCACAATTGTTTGTAATTGTTTTTGGTCAGATGCCTGAAATAAGGTCTCTGTTAAGACAAGCTGAAGAGATTTAAACAAAGTTAATACCCTACTGGTGAACGTCTGAAGCTTTTATGTGTCATAACAATGGCTAAGAAGTGACTAAATTAGACTACTAAACGTCATTAGGCCAAACATTAGCCACCTATAGCTTAGCAGTGGTATCTTAAGGTCATGTGACCATGTTGTTGTTTGTTTATAGCCAAACATTAGTCTTTTACTCTTCGAGATTGCATTAACGCCTCAACAATAGGAAAAGTGTTATTAATATGTGGAGATTATCCTGCTGAACAAAACCGGTAAGTATCTTAAATGTATGTTTGCCACAGATCTTATTTTCTGCATGTAATGAAAAATGATATTGGCTTTTTGTCGAGGGAGCCCTTGTGATGCTAACTTCTGGGTCTGCCTACACAAATACATCATCACTACACCACTCTATTAAGCCTGACAAACAGATCCTAGAGTAGGCAGAATAAAGGGCATCCGTGATAAATTCTTCTGGAATAGCTGTTGTAAGCAAATAAAAAATGTCAAAATGGTTAAAAATGGTACGGTAATATTGATCCGAGATGAGTCAGTGAGAACTAGGCCAAATATGTTTTGCAAAGCGAGTGCCCTTTCATAAGTTAACGGATATTAGTTTTGACATGGATGTCAATAAAGGCCGTCAGGAAGCCGGGGCCGCCTGTTCTCCGGGCCGCTCTATCCGTCATTCTACCGCTTGCTTTGCCAATACCAGCAGTGAATGTTTGCTGAGTCGCGACAAACCCGCCCTCTCTCTCTCTCACTTGCATACACACACACACACACACACTCATTTTCTTTGACCTATTGGTGATACAAAGATCACCAGGAGCTGTGGACTGGCTAACTGTTGCCACAACACCAGTCACATGGAACATCCTAAATAACACATGCATGCATATAAAAGGTGCACACAAACACACACATGCACACACACACACAAAACAGAGTGGTAGCTAGCTGCTTTTAAATTTTAAAATCGCATCTTTTGTATAATGTTATTAGTTTACCAGATTTATATTTTGTTAGTAGTTGATTGGTCTATTATAGTTTATACGGACTTATTCTGTATAGGCCTATTTACATTATGAATGTCATAGTTATGATAATCTGTTTTCATGCTGCTTTAACAAAAACAATTTCAAAAATTGGGATGAAAAAAAAGCTAATCTAATATCATTTAACATTATATAATGTAATAAAATATAATATAATATAATAAAATATGATATAATAAAACATAATACAAAATAAACTATAATTCAATATAAAATAATATAAATAAATGCAAAATACAATTTTATATTATATGATATAATGTAATATAATTCACTGACACATATTCAGTGTTAATGGACACAGCACTCTCGTCCTCTCCCACACCCACCCACCCACACGCACACACACGCACACACACACACACGGTTCCACTGAGCATAAAGGACAGATTTCCCCTGCCATCTGAAATATTTTAGCCCCTGTATCTCCACCCTGTGACAGGAGGAACATTCCATTAAAATCATGTCAACCTTGCAGAAATATGACATGTGTTTTACTGGCTCGTCATATATTCTCATCGGCGAGCCAGCAGACAGTTAATTCAAATATAATTAAACTTCCTGAAGCACCATATTTAACAAGTTTTACAGGAGGTTGCTGCTCTGTGTCCAGGATGCTTAAGTAATGCAAGCTGCTCAGTTTGTCTAAAAACATAAACTCATTAAAACATATATTATAAGCATGATTTTGTGTTGTTTTGATGACATTAAAACTTCACAACAACTACATTCATTGTATCTTCAGTTATAAAGTATACACTTCTCAAATGCCATAAGAGGAATGTCATAAATCCTAAATAATGTGTATTTTTATTAACAAATTAAAATAGGTTCCAGGCAATTCACATGCAGTCATTGAGTCAACATTTCATGACAATTATGTCAAATCAATAGCATATTTTCTTCTGAGTTCACTGGTCTATGAAGTTAATTGATGATACATAATTAAACTACAGATGCAGTGATTCCAATTTTGCTAACCGGTTCCTATTTCTGAAAGATTCTGAACAGTCACTTCAAATTTTTGCAAGTATTTTCTAATAAGAATTTAAATTCACAGCATTCTCAAAATTAAATGTGACTTCTCCTTCATGGAAAATTGAAATAATGTTGTGTGTTCATAAAAAAACAATGACTATTAACAAATATTTTCACTAAATCTGCACCAAGTGACAGGACGGTGTCTCATTCTTACTTAGGAAATAAAGTCTAACTGAAAGTGAATAGCAGTACATCTCACTATATCTTCTGTTTTTACTTTCTCACAAGGAGCAATATATTTTTATAACAACACACCTGACATTATAAATCCCAGTGACAGACATATTATTCGTTGTGTGTCGACACGTTCCACAGCTGAATGGGGAGCTGTAAATTGCTGCTTGCTCTTGGCTATATTGTTTATCAATTCCAGAAAATAACTCGATATAAAAATGTTTTTCTGTAAGTACCAATGTAGAATGATAGCAAGGCTGGTCAGTGTATGTTTTGGTTATTGGATTTTCTTTCCACAAAAGGATATTCAAAAACAAAAAACTACTGGATATTTAATTTTTGTTTTAAAATTGAAAAACCAAAATTGAAATACAAGGCGTTTTTCTTTATCATGGTCAAAAAGGGATTTACTAAACTTAAATATTCTGCTACCGGAAGTTACCTTACAAAATAAGAGCGTAGATGAGGACGGGAATCCGTGTATCTACGGTCCATTTGTTTTTCTTTATTAAACAAGTTTCAGTCAGACAACTCACGTGTTTCTTTAACATGTTTATTATAAGCAGCATATAGTTGAGTTTGGCGTCTAGGCTCGGGTCTCATCACTCCACAGATATACATAGCACGATGAGTGATGATTAAATAACTAACCCCCAGAGCCTACAGGTGGAAGCTGGGGTGGAAGCTGGGGTGGTGGTGGGTCAGGCAAGCAGCAGCAACGTAGAGTAGCTGCAGCAATAGCAGCAGCAAGCAATGCATAGAGATATCTGGCAGGTTAAATAGAGCGGCATATTAAGGAGACTCTGTTTGGTTGGTTGTAGAGTGGCAAGGGGCGTTATGTATGAATGTAGCATAAGTGCTCGAGTTGACTGCCTGAACTAGCTCGCAGGCTTCGCCCCATAAACGGAAGAGCGTCTGAGAGGCGTTTTTGCTTTTTACCTTACTAAATGGTAAAATGGTCCTTGGAGCGAAGGTCGGGGCGAAACTCACGGAAGTAATTTCAAAACAAAAGCACTCGTTTGCTAAAATCACACTTTCAATCACGACAGTATCCTGTTGAAGGAACGGTGATAATATTATAAACAAGGGGAATTTAGCGATCACAACGAAAACAGCCAAGACACATATTGAGCCCAGAAAACGGATGTTATTAACCTGTTAAGCCCTGAGCCTGTTTTTCAGGTCTCAGGCTCGAAAATGACATTCCCAGAACAAATGACCATATCTTCCCTTCTAAAAGGGTTAAATTAATAATCTTTTTTCTCAAAGTAATGATAAACCTGTGACTTGGATGTAGAAAAGTCAGAATCAATATAGATGTTTTTTATTTTAAAGAAAATTCAGATTGAACATAGTAAAAAACTGTAAATTATAGTGTCCGTCCAAAAATTCTTTTTTACTTATAGTGAAAACCACCCTTGGATGATGGGTTAGTAGACTAAAAGCTTTAGGAATCCAAAGTACAACATATAATAAGTACCCTGTATCAAGATTGATGCAAAACAAGTGACATTTGACCTTTTTAACACTAGAACCGCCAGAGATTTTTTATACCTAAAACCGCCACCTGCGTCAAATTGACCCGCTATTAGAATGCATTGATTTTCAAGGTAAAATGTTCTTTTATTGAACTGAGAGTTTTGATCGCACAGGGATGAAACGTATACCAATATAATCTGTGGACTCTCAGGGCTCGACATTATAAATGGCCCGCTGGGCCGGAAGCATTATTTAGACACCGCGGCCAGCATAACGTACTTTCAACTCGCCCCACAGCTGTTTGCTGCGGAGCGCAGTGCGAGCAGTCTCCCGTGAGCGGGAGCACACTCCTTCACTACAGACTGTCTCTATCTCTCTCTCTCTCTCTCTCTATAACTATCTATCAATATATCTATCCATCTATCTCTCTCTCTCTCAATCTATCTCTCAATCTATGAGGAACCGCAGTAGACAAAAGGCGTTGCTATAGCAACACGTCATGTTTATATGAAAAGGGGTGGGGTCAATATGACCCGCTTGGCGGAAATAGGTATAAATGGCAATTTTTTGGGTGATTTCTTCAATCTGACTTCATATTGACAATTTTTAACAACAGAGGGTGGTACATAACA